AGATCATATATGTTAACTTTTGAGATTTTCGCTTTAAAAAAATCGTATCGTAAAAAATCGTAAAAATCGTAAATTTCTCACCTTAGTATTTCGAGTCAACTTGACGTTATGAGCCGCCATGTTACAATAATTGAAATTATTTCAAATAAACCATATGCGAAAATGTCAAAAGTTATATAAAATGTCAGTCTATTCAGAGTGTCATTTCTTATCGAATAAAGTAGAAATATACCGAGGGTGCCATTTAAAATATAAAATTTAATTTTGTAATATGCCATCGATTGCTATTTCTAAACTAACTTGACGACGACTTTCTGATCACACCGTATACTCAGGTGCTAAGATTCAATGTACTGTACGTACAATTAATGACTAAAAATAAACAATAATGTATTACATATGATCATTATCTATTTTCTTACTATATAATAAAAAGGATATGAAATTTATTTAAAACAAGTCATATTAAAAATGTAATTGACATAATTATATTGTTACTATTTATAAAATATAATCTTATACCTACTTCTGGAAAAACCCACCTAATAATAGATAGATTAGACAGCAGAAAAGTAAATTAGGACATATAGACATGTCAATATTTTTGCCGAAAAAATTTTACAATCAACAAACGTTACAAACATTGATTTTATCTTAAATTTTCGACCTTTCCAATCTTTATTTCACATACCTACCACTTAAAAATTTAAAACTATAAATTATAAGTGTTTTAATGGAAACACTAATAGAATTAAAAAGATAAAATGAATTTTAATTGACAACTGATTAATTAATTTTAAGATCTTATCACTTACCGTTACATATTAAAACTTATCAGACATATTGTTTTAAAAAACATTTTATTCAAAATATGTATACAGTTTATCATGTTATAAATAAAAACAGAATAATTAATAAGTATAGGGAAATTTGTACTACAGAATTATAATATTATTAAAAATATATAATAATATAGAGTGTAATCAGGAATAATGGCTAGAAGTGAAAAAAAAAATTAAAATACGTAATTCACTTTTAGAAGTTTAAAATAAAAAAGTTGCTGTCAACTTCCGGTTTTTCCGGAAGTGGCCGTCATATTGAAAATATTTTTAATTGATAGATCTTGTTGTGAAACAATGATGTGCAAAAAATCTCCGATCAAGATATAGTAGTTCTCCAGAAACTTCTAATACACGCTCAACCTGGAACACCCTGTATATGGGACCGGCAATTGTGCGTCGGGTATATGTAGCTCCTATACCAAAAAAATTAGAAATTGAGGTGCAGACCTAAAGCATAGCTTTTCTAAATAAAACGGTATGTTAGTTTTATATCAAGCAGACACTTTTAAGGTACATTCAGGCTGAGAGCGTCGAGTGTCTCGCGTTTGCGTCGCGTCCGCGTGTCGAAATGGAATTAATTCACTTAACTTAAATTAGACCGTTCAAGCAGACAGCGTCGCGTTTGGCGTTGCGCTAGCGTCCGCTGAGCGTCGGGGTTCGAGTTCATTGGGGCGGACGCGATGCAAACGCGACGCGACGCTCGACGCTCTCAGCCTGAATGTACCTTTATGAAGAATGCATTAAATTAACAATAAAAAAGTATTTCCTCTTTTGAAAACCGATTTGAGCTCATATTTTTTTATTACTGCATATAATAAATTTACAGATTTATATAATTTAACTGGTATTTTTTTATATAAAACAAAAATGTTTAAATGGAATTGACCCTCACAGGCAACGACGGTTATATCCAAATTTCTCTCTGTGGTATTTTTTTTTCTCTAAATATTTCCTGAATGTATTATATTCATTATTGATTATACAGGGTTGTCCGACCTGTATTCCGGAAACTTCGGCAGCATATTCTACAGATTAAAATAAGTAAAAAAGTTCGTATAATTGTATGTCCTAAAATGCTTAGTTTCGGATATACAGAGTGTAGAAGTTTCATTTTTATTTCGATTTTTTCCAAATAATTTCTGCAGTAACGTCAATAGTTGGATGAAAATTGGTGTCTGGGTGTTTTTTGACATGAGAAATTTGATTTTGATGTCAATATGATTCCTACTAGAGGGCGCCACCTACATATTTTTTAACTGGTTGAAGAGTAATAACTTTTCGTCCGTACCTGTATAAAACTACTGAGTAAAAAAATATATATTTACGACGTTTTTTAACTAAAAAATGTCTCTTGGTAAAAATCGCTACAAGTATCTATTAGGTGTATTTCAGAAAAATATTTAAACTTCTACAGAGTAGCTCAAAAATTGTGTGATTGGCATTATTTTTTTTAATGGAACACACTGTATACTATTTCATTTTGACTTCCTTTCTTACCATTTTACTTAATCCTAAAACATAATAATTAACTTAACCTTAAAATACGTTTGGATCGTTTAAGAGATATTACGAGTAATAAATAATTAAAAAAAATATTTTTTAGCCTTTTTTTAAATATTAAAAACACAAGAATTGTCCTGAAATCAACACTATACTAGATATTTACTATACTTGATCTGTACTTACTTTCTTAAAAATATCGTAATTCTAAACCATACAGGGTGTTCAAAATTCTATGCCAACATTTCTAAAATATAAAATAGTTTTTCTTTGTTTTTTAAAAGAACCCTCTGTATATTATTCTTTTAATAGATGGGGAATTAAAAAATAAAAAAAAAAATATTTAAAGTATTTCAAAATTATTTAAACGGTTTTGCGGATATTCTTAAAATTATACTATCTATACATATGGTTTTTTCAACAGTAATTTTTTATCAAAACCATCTAACCACCTAACCTAACCTAACCGTTGAAAGAGCCATATGTGTAACGCGAATATTTGCGAAACCGCTAAAAAATTTAAAACACTTTAAATAGAAAAATTACTAATTTTCTAATTCCCCATCCAACAAAGATATAATATACATGGTGTCCCATTTAAAATTTTGTTTTGCATAGAATTTTCAACGCCCTCTATGGTTTAGGTTTACTCTCCGGTTTACTATTATTTAAAAAAAAAATTATTTAATTATTTATTAATATATCTAAAACTATCAAAACATATAGTTTTATTTAGTATAGCATCATTTTCTTTCAGAACATCTTCTTGGTGCAATACCAATTCTACTATCAGCTGCACGCAAGTTTTATATTATACTATAAGCCACTATATATTAATCATTTTTAATGAATTATAGTATATACTATACTAAGGGCTGGCAAAGGTTAGTCTTGGGTCGAGATTTCCATATTAAGAAGAGTACAATGCGTTTATAATGTACTGAACAAAGAGAGGACAGTAAACACGTTGCCAAACGTATGAAATAAACCGAGAAACTGTGCACATCGCTAAGAGACGTGGGAGGAGATATAGCAGATTTGTCGCAGTTGACCGGTCGACCCAAGACCTAATCAGTCCTGTGTCAATTCAACCTCTCTCAGTACTTAAAGTTCTAGGGAATGGTGTACGTCATGCGTTCAGCTTCACGATTTAATTACGTTTCGTGATACTTGATTTGTTTATTTATTGACGAGTCGTTGTAATTTTCCCTATAGCTTGAATTGTTTTAAGTGCAAGCTAGAAATGATTGCATTTTTGGTAAAAATAAGTGGAACTGAGTGGGTGTTCGATAGTGGTCGCGCTATTAGAACTTTGAATTCAAAAATCGATATCTCGGAATCTATTAGAAATAATAGATTGTAGTTTTTTCAAGAACTTTGTTAATATTTCTGCTGTATTTTCTTTGTAGACAGTATGTGAAAATCTTTATCATTAAAAAAATTACACGATTGCTGAAAATTGCTATGTTCTAAAAGTAAATGGATGGATTGTTTACAATTTTTGAATGGAAAAAACAACCTTATCGAAATTTTCTTAAAAAAACTCAAAGTTTAAGTGAGGATGCAGTCAATAATCACCACATAGACTAATAAAACTACTTTTTCAAATTTGTCAAGCTTTCGAGAATTTTATTCCCATCATCAGGACAGTTTGACTGAGTCAATTAGCAAAAAAACATCCTTTGCACAAAAAGGCCTTAAAAACTAGCATCGTATGACATTGGACTACAAGGACATTTCCTTTATAAAATATTAAAATACATACCCAACGATATTACTTTTCTTTTAAACACAAACAAAAAGATTTTTTTTAAATTTAATTTCTACATTGTTATTTCGAGCTCGATCAAACAGTGATTGTTTAATAAAATACCAATCATTGATTGGTTTGTGATACCAATCATTATGTACATAAGCTTGGAAAACGATGCTAGTTTTTAAGGCCTTTTTTTGCAAAGGATGTTTTTTGCTAATTGACTCAGTCAAACTGTCCTGATGATGGGAATAAAATTCTCGAAAGCTTGACAAGTTTGAAAAATGCATCCTCACTTAAATTTTGAGTTTTTTCTTAACTTAGTCAGTCACGACTAACCTGCTATTTTTGAATTTTTCTTATGTAAACATATTGTAAAATATCCGATCTTGAAAATAAAAAAGTTTCAATATCTAAAGTGGTTCTTGAGTTATGGCCTGTTATGTGTTAAAAAGTTGAGTTTTTAAATTATCGCGATTACTGATGTTTTCTCGTTATAAAAAAAATGACACCCTAACGATATCCTTATAATTCCATTTCAGATGCTCAGAAACATATCTAATGATTTTATCTAGTTATCTCTTGAAAAAAAGTCTTTTAAAAATAAGCGGTGTGCGATCGTGATTTTACTTTACTTAATAGGGAATGGCGTATCGGCAACGCCGCAACAGCACACCGTCGCGCGTCGCCTCGGTCGGTCGCATTTCTCTCACTCCGACTTAATAAGATCCCTATGCGATTTACTTCCACACATGTAAATGCCGACCCAAAAGTAACAGTTGCCAGCACGGTATACTATAAGTTGCGTACAAAATGTTTTAAGGCTTTACTATAGCTTTAACAAAATGACTCTGTATTAGCGTAATTTGGCGTCATTATAATTCTATATTTTTGTTATGTTTCAGATTATCTTCAGATAATTGCCAATCTCTCGAACCTCCAATGGACAATTTAACTCAGGAAGCTTTCTTATCAGCTCTAACAGCCAGCTGTAGATATGATCGTTACATTAGACCAACATCAGAATCGCCATTAAAAGTTAATTTTCAAATCGACGTTAAACATATGGAAAATGTTGAAAACACGGTAAGAACTTACATTTTTGGCTATTTTAATTGTTAATAATATTATTCGATAAATTAAATATCTGTCATATAAAATATAACCGATCCTATTATAGCCAATCATCAAGCAAATAAAGGAATATTTTCTCTAAACTTTGAAAATTTTGTGAAAACATTATGAATTCAAATATTCATTATGCATTATTCATAAAGGAAAATTGATTTTATTTGTTTGCTAACAATTCGTTAACCAATTATTGTATTGTTCTAATTTGGTTAGAACCTGGCATATGGTGATAAATATTTACTTAAAGTATTTCAGTTTTCCCATATTTTTTTTAATGTAAGGTCTTAAATATTCTTTTAATTTCTTGGATTGGAAACATCCACTTCCAATCAAATTTTTTTTAATAAATTATCTCATTATTTTTTATTTTATTTTTCAAAAAAAATATTGGATTTCAAGGCACTGTTTGCCACTTAATTGTGGCTTATTTTCCGATGTCCATTATGATGTATTTTTTCCGATGATTTTTTTATTCCGATGTATTTTTAACTCATTTAAAAGATATCTCTATAATCCTGTGATATATATTCACTTTATTGTTTAATATTCTATTTGTAAATAAACAACTGTATTTTCTGAGATTAAATGATTCTAAATATGACAAACATATTTTCTTAATTATTTGTTATTTAATTCTATCTTTAATGCAAAAAATACATTTTTTGAACAAGATATTAAATTTAATTATGATATTAAAAGACTTCCAAACTTTTTTTTTCTGTAGTTACAAATAATTTTAATTGATCAAATTTAAAAGATAATCTTATATAAACTGATTTGTCCAATTTTGCGATCTTTTTAGCTTTTCAAATCGCATATTTTAGTTCAACTATCGTTCCAAGATGACAGGTTGAGTTTCTCCGACATATCTCCTAACAGAGGTGACATACTCGGCCAAGAAACTTTAAGAAACAAGATTTGGGTTCCTCACATAGTCGTAAAAAATGAAAGAAGTTCAGGCTTGATGGGACTCGACCAGTAAGTGGATATACCGGGTGCGTCTCAAAAGTGACACTTTGGTATGTTAGTATATGACATAAATTAGGATTAATTGATGTATTCAATTGTTTTTGGTCACTTCCTGTTTCACCGGAAATGACTACAACGTTTGATTTTTAAATGGCACCCTCGGTATTTTTTTAACTTATTCTCACTGAATAGAATGACATATCATATGTCAACTTTTGACATTTTCGTATATGGTTTATTTGAAATTGTAACATGCGGTTCATAACGACAATTTGACTCGAAATATTAAGTGTGTGGTACCAAATTATTCGTAAAATAATGTTTTTTCCAAATACGCTAATGACCCACCCTCGTTCCATTGAAAAATTTGAGATATGATTAAAAGTACGATTTGGGCATCTTTCAACTGGCCAGGACAAGACACTAAATTTATTTGACGATCTTACTAGATCAAATTTATTTTTCCACCGCTCCTTGATTAAAAATTAGTGTTCTTAACATAGGGATGGACCTCCAGATTGAAATTTAAAATACAATTTTCTTTAAAACGAAAATGTCAAAGGTTGACATATGATATGTCAATCTATTCAGAGTGTCATTTTCTATCGAATAAAGAAAAAAATACCGAGGGTATCATTTACAAATCAGAAGTTGTAGTCATTTCCGGTGAAACAGGAAGTGACCGAATAGAATTAAATACGTCAATCAATTCTAATATGTCATATACTAACATACCAAATCTCGATTTTTTATAGGAAAAATTAAAAAAGTTAAAGGGTGAGCCACTTTTGAGACGCACCCGGTATATACTTTACTTTATGTTAAATTCTGAGAGTTATGGTTAAAAATATACATATACACTATATTAGAAAAGATTAGAAATAACTTGCAAAATAAGATTGTATTACACTAAGATATTGATAAACAAAAGATCTAAGTTTTTGTTTATAAATTGGAATATTGATTTTTAGTTATAAGTATTACAGTAAAAAAAATCTTTTTGCTTATAGTCTAAGAGCTGGCTACATAAAAAACCTTATCATCGTTACATGGCTAATTTTTTGTGTGAAGTATCCTTTTGTGTAGCCATTATGAAATAGTCATGTCTGCAAGCGCGATCCCGGGGCTTAAAGCGGGCCAATCGAAAGGGTGAAATTTTAACACTAAAAATATTATAAGATACATGAGTTATAATTGCGAAAATAGCTTTTATTTATTATTAAGAAACGTGGAAAATTGTTGGCAGACATTTTTCTAGTCGCCAAAATGCCGACAGACAACGCGAAAGAGGCATGATATTTTAAAAATTATTAAAAAATGAAATTTGAAGAATGAAAAAAATTATGGCATATTTTTATGCCGATTGGTGAAATGTCATATTTATTTATTTTAAAAGCCGTATGCAAAAGGGCAGACAAAAAGATCGTGGCTGAATCAGCTGCAGACAGTTATCAAAAGCGCTATATTACTCTAGCGCTTTCAGGGAACGCTCGCCGCCTCATCCATTTAAGTATAGATAAATCATATAATATACGATTATATTATAAATATAGTTTTTTATTATTTCAATAACGATTTTTTTGTCTGCCCTTTTGCATACGGCTTTTTAAATTAACTAACAATAAATATGACATTCCACCAACCGAGATGCATGTATGCGATGATTTTCTTTTGTCAAAATTATATACCTCTTTCGCGTTGTCTGTCGGCATTTCAGCCACGAGAAAAATGTCTGTCAACAATTTTACACGTTTCCTAATAATAAATAAAAGCTATTTGGTAATTATAACTCGTGTACCTTATAATATTTTTAGTGTCAAAATTTCACCCTTTTGATTGGCCGCCCCCGCTTTAAGCCCCAGGATCGCGCTGGCAGACATGACTATTTCACAATGGCTACACAAAAGGATACTTCACACAAAAAATTAGCTATGTAACGATGATAAGGTTTTTTATGTAGCCAGCTCTCGATCTATTACTACGAAACAAGGTGGTGTTTACTGTCTTTGTTAACTTTGTGAGTCCGTTTCAATGACTTTTCTTATACTTTTCCAATAGACCAGTAAGAGTGTCCAAACCTTTTTATTAACCTTGTAATTGCCTGTTTAATTGGTTTATGTATTAAAATTTATTTTAGGAAAGATATGTTTGTTAAGATAAGTCCAACGGGAAAAGTGATATACTCTTTTCGTATGACCACAACATTCTACTGCTCTATGAATTTAAGAAAGTTCCCTTTTGATAATCAGTTATGTCAAATAATATGGACCAGCTGTAAGTACTACAAAAAGCAGTTAATATATTAAATTAAATTCCCATTTAATCATAGTTACCAGAACCACATTAATATTTTACTATTTTTTTTTAATATCAAACTAATCCAGCAATATAATACAAAATAGATTATTTCTTATTATTGTATCAATAATTTAAGACGTTATTTTCAAATTAATTCTTTTATATTTAGGGGCTTACAATGAGACTGATTTACAACTCCAATGGTTAAAAGATGAGCCATTTGGCATTGCTGATAATCTCCATTTAACAGAATTCTCTTTATATGAAATCTGGGTTGAAAATATGACAAGCAGTACTAGTGGATCCAGCAAGTGGGGTAAGCGATAATTATGCTATTATATCTTAATAATAATATCTTAAAAATAGATTAGCATTATAACGCATTAAAATATTATACAGGATGGCGCACCTCATTCGCCTCGGTTGATTATACGAAAACGGAAAGATATAGAAACAAAATATATATGGGTATATGTGGGGAGGCAATGTGCACAATTTAAATTTATTTTGAAATATACAGGGTGTTTCAGAACTAAGATCCATAGCAAAGTTATATTTTTTCTTATGGAACACCCGGTATTTTATTTCATTTTTGGATTTGTGGGCCCAAAAAAGGCATTTTTTATAAGGGTTAAATATGTTTAAAATCTTTGGTTTTTGAGATATTTAAAGATATTTAAATTTGCATGCTACTATAGAATAGATTATTAAAACCCTGTCCATTATTTTTCAGAATTAATTCTTGTGCTGAGGTTAAAGGTAAAGAAATAAACTTTACTGGAAAATGTTAACACTTCCTTAAATTTATACAGGGGTATCAACAATTGCTGATTTAATTTAAGGATTTATTTTACATAAAAACTTCGTGATTTCAAATACAACACCCTGTATTTTTTATAATAAATCGAAGCAGATTCAAATGCTCTTTCAAACTATATTGCGGTTTCTTATATCTATCTAGCTCAGATTTTGAATAAAGAGCAATTTTTCATGGCAGTTTTTTTATTGACAGTTAGTAGCTATTTTCAAAATCGAAATTAGTTTCTGGACTTATTTAAATTTATACCAGTTTTCTTTTATTTAATTTACCTACCTACAATAGTTTAATAAATAATATTTATTAAATATGTATTTATTATTCTATCAAGAAAAACGAAGAAGTAGTTCTTTGATTTGTTCTACGATGACTTGTAGATATATGGATTTTCTGTAAAAGAGACAATTACAGCAAATTCATTTTCTTCACTCCCAACGACATGTTTCTGCCACTAACAGGTTTTTTATAAACCACATTACCAGCTCTGCGAAATAGGGCAAGTAGTTTTTCAAAAGAACGCTTATCAGGAAGATTCCTATTTTTGGATACCTTTAACCATACTCTCTTGAGGCCAAGAAGCAATTTTCCTCACAAAATAAAATCACTAGAAACATATCAAAATAATGAATACTTGTTTATTAAACTATTGTAGGTAAATCTAAGTAAACTGTTACAAATTATAAATAATAATGTCCATAAACTAATGTCGACTTTGAAAATAGTTACTAACAGAACTGTCACTAGAAAATTGCCATAGCGACAGCAGGCATCTTGATTGTAATTTTATTTAAAAATCGCTTTTTATTCAAAAATCTGAGCTCGATAGGTATAGGAAACCCTAATATAGTTTGAAAGAGCATTTGAATCTGCTTCGGTTTATTTTAAAAAATACAAGGTGTTGCATTTGAAATAACGGAGTTTTTATATAAAATAAGTCTTTAAAATAGATCAGCAATTTTTGATACCCCTGTATAAAATTAAGGAAGCAATGCCATTTTTCAGTAAAGTTTACTTCTTTATCTTTAAACTCAGCACAAGAATTAATTCTGAAAAGTAATGTACAGGGTGTTAGTATTCTATTCTATTGTAGCATGCAAATTTAAATATCTTTAAATATCTCAAAAACCAAAGATTTTAAACATATTTAACCCTTATAATAAATGCCTTTTTTTGGGCCCAAGAATATAAAAATGAAATAAAATACCGGGTGTTCCATAAGAAAAAATATAACTTGGTATGGATCTTAGTTCTGAAACACCCTGTATATTTCAGAATAATTTTACATGGTGCACATTGTCTCCCCACATATACCCATAAAATATTTTGTTTCTACATCATTCCGTTTTTGTATAATCAACGGAGGCGAATGAGGTGCGCCACCCTGTATACTATAACGCCAATTTAAGGACATAATTTTTTATCGCTTTCCAATTTTGTTGTTCATGGTTGTTGTTCAGTGTTTTGTTTTTCAGTCGTTCATTTATTTCACTTTAGTTATTATTTATTAGTTTAGTTATACTTTTCTAAAAATATTGCTACTAAAGCAATAACTTAAAATAAATATATATATATATATTTTTAGAAGATCAATAAAAATCAGACTTTTATATAAGTATGTACTTGTATTAAGTAGCGTTATTTCTAAGAGTCTGCCGCAACTACAATAAGTCTGCCACAAGGATTATATTATTCAGTATTAACATATTCATTGTATCACACATAATCGATACTTAAAACTCATCTTAAACCTTTAATCTGCATTAATCGTAAAGACTCGTTTTGTTGACTTTTCTTAGATTTTAACAACTCTTACTAATTGAATATATGAGAATTTAATCTTTTAATAGATCGCATGTGATTGTACACTAATAAGAGCCTATTTCTACTAAGATTGTACTTACTCTTTTGTGATAAACAGTAAAAAATAGGTATTAAACACTTCATTTTATTATTCTTTTTTTTTATTTCTATAAATTACTATAAACTCATTAAATAAGAGCCGTTTTATCTGGCTAAAATAAATTTGAAATCTAAAAAAAATCAAAATTTATGTTTCAACTTATTATGAAAATATGTAATGTATTTTTGTTAACAACTGTAGAAAATTATGAAGAATAAATTCCTTCAATGAAATAATACTTGTTTACCATTATGTTACTTTTTTATTATCCATAATATATTTTTACAGATGATGGTTATAGCGCTCTATCGTTTAAATTTAAACTCAAGAGAGAAGTGGGTTACTATATTCTGGACTATTTTTTACCATCCATATTACTAGTGATAACTTCATGGACATCTTTTTGGCTACAGGCAGATGCTAGTCCTGCTCGAACCACTCTGGGTATGTATTGTTAGATCAGAAGTATTCTTGTATTTATTTATACCAGATGATCGAAAAAAACGGCGCCAAAGACTGCTGCGGAATGACAATGGATGATAATTTCAGCGAGGTCGATCTCTAGATGTCATTTGTTAATTACACCCTTTTAAAATTATTTTTACTCAATATAAAAATAAAAGGCAACCTTCTTAAGACCAACTTAAGTAGCTTAAGAATAAAGAAGAGTACGAGCCAAGTAAACGACGTCTAGGGCTTGACCTCGTCAAAATTCTCATCGATTGTCATTCTCCAGTCCTCTTTGACGCCGATTTTTTATCGTATAGTATAAAATATACCTCAAAGTTATTAGTGTCTACAGGGTTGTTCACCACATTGGACACGGACTATTGAAGCTAAACGATTAAATTTTTACAAATTTAAGTTTTGGATTCGTTGAAAGACTATTAGAGCTACAATTTAAAAATAAGATACAGAGTGTCCCAAATAAGTAAAAAATATTATAGTTGTATTTTTTTAAATGGAAAACCCTGTATATTATTCTATTTTTAGATTCTACGATTGGAATAAAGGTAAATTTCATTAAGGTTAATCACAGTTAAACCGTACCGTTTTTGAAATATTTTCAATTTTATGAAATTGCATTAAAAATTTTAAGGCTTCATTTCTCCAAGGGTATGGAAGTTTTTAATACTAAATATTTACTGAAGTTTATTTTTATCGATCAGATATTGTGTTGCAATAATTAACAAAATACTCCCTGATACACAGTGTCTAAAAATTTATATTAAATAATTACTAGCTTTAAACGGCAATAACTTGTTTAATTTAAATAGAACACCCTATATATTTTACGAGAATCAGATGCACAATTTAATTGTCTATCAAATTGTATTATGCCATTTTTTACCTATATCTTCAAGTTTTCGTAGAAAATGCATTTTCTTATAATTTAGACCTTATTTATTAATATACCCATGGAATATTAACATATTAGATTATTTCTAAAGGTGTAACATATATTCAAAGAGTATACAGATACTAATATTGTCGATATAGTTCGTTTATTTCACTGAAAAAAACTGCTAAAAAATATTTTTTGTTAAAGAGAACCAATTAATATGACCCCAGTATTCAAACTACATTATTTTATTGACCGTTTACGTTGATTAATATTAATTGCTCCAAATACTAAAAACTGAATTTTTTATGTGTATTAGACAGTGTGGTAAAAAGTAACACCTCATAAATTTTATTTCATTTTTTGACGAATGCTTATTTATAACAACAGAGACGTTTCATAACTTATTATTATATTGATTTCTGAGTCAAATCCACATTTATTTAGGATAATTTATTAATTAAGTATGTATTTAACTAATTTTTGGGCGGAAATAAAGGTGGTATATATTGGTATACTCTTTTCTAAAGATTTAAATAATTTTCTTTTTGTAAAGAAATAGGCTTGCAATATTATTATATTTACCATCTGTACATTTCGTACATAATATGTTGCTTTAAAAAAATCTGAAATATCCATATTCAATGGGTATAGTGATAAATGAGGTATAAATTATAAGAAAATGTATTTTCTACGAAAATTTGAAAAGATAAGTAAAAATGGAATGACATAATTTGATAGACAATTAAATTGTGCATCTGATTAACGTAAAATATACAGGGTGTTCCATTTAAATTAAACAGGTTATTGCTGTCTAAAATTAGTAATTATTTAATATAAATTTTTGGACACTCTGTAGAAGGTAGTATAATTTTTATTATTGCAACACAATATATGATCAATAAGTAATCTTCAGTAGATATTTAGTATTCAAAACTTTGATACCCTTGCAGAAATGAAGCTTTAATTTTTTTACTGCAATTTCATAAAATTGAAAATATTTCAGAAACGGTAAGGTTTAATTCTGATAAACCTTGATTTTATCACACTTAAAGATAAACCTTAATCAAATTTACCTCTATTTCAATCGTAGAATCTAAAAATATAATAATATACAGGGTGTTCCATTTAAAAAATACAACTATAATATTTTTACTTATTTGGGACACTCTGTATCTTGTAATGTAGTGTAAATTGTAGCTCTAATAGTCCAAAAAATCTCTAATAGTTCGCTAAATATCAACGAACCCAAAACTTACAATTTGTAAAAATCTAATCGTTCAGATACAATATTACTCCGTGTCGAATGTGGTGAACAACCCTGTATAAAGGTTTTGCTATTGGAGAAAGTGCATTTTAATAAATTATTAAGCTCTTTGGAATGTTAATTGTATGATGTTAAAATACAAAATACATGAAAAAAACTGCTTTTTTAATACTATATAATTACCACTATTCTTAATGCTATTTATTTCAATTTCTTTACTCCTACAGGTACTGCGACTATGCTGTCGTTTATTACTCTAAACGCCAATGTTATGAAGAATTTACCAAAAGTCAGTTATGTGACTGCAAGTGAAATATGGTTCTTCGGGGGAGCTACATTCATATTTTGTTCCTTAGCTGAATTTGCGTTTGTAAATGTTGTGTTTCGAAGAAAGTAAGTTATTTATAAATGTAACTAAGTTATTTACAATATAAGTATTTACCCTATGATCGAAAAAAAAACAGCGTCAGAGATGGCTGGGAAATGAGAATTGATGATAATGTTAGCGGGGTCAATCTGTAGACGTCATTTACTGAAAATTGATATAAAACTGGTCAACAATTAACACTAGTTATAGAAATATTTAAAAAGGATATATTAGAACGTTTCCAGACACACAAATCTGCTCCAAAAAAATATATTTCTTTTCCCGAATTTTAAACTACACCATTTGAAAATCATTTAGTATAATGTATTGTGTAGTAGACGTGGGCAAAGATTGAACGAGTATTAAAAATGAATCGTGAGATTCGATTCACTGCTTAGAATACGGTTCGTTCAATTGAATAAAATGATGAAAAGAAAGTTATTTACAAGAAAAAAACTTATTTATACTGTGATTAGTCCGGGACTATCTGTCAGGTATTTAATTTTCACGTTAATATTTTTGTTAAAATAATATTACCGACTATAAACCATTAATTATTGTCGGTCTAAACGACGAAATCCTGTTTTTATGCAACTCCAAATAAATATTGTTGGCCTCTGCCCAATATGATAAAAAAAACGACGTAAGCGATGGTTATAAAATGAAGATCGCTGTCATTTTATATGTAAAGTATACGTATAGTTATATGTAAGCCAACTGAATGCCATTTTTTTTTCTATCATGCATCATATACTATTTATTATGATTATTAAATCGGAAGTAAAATATGGTTCTAAAAATATTAAATTGGTATTAAAAAGTCTTAATAATAATAAGATAATTTAATATTATTGGTAAAATAAAATCAATCCAATTACGCCAGTGTCATAAAGTGTTGAAAAACAAATGAAATAACTGTATATTTCTTTTTCTGGTCCCTTAAGTAATTGTCCGACCAAATTATTGCCGGTAGTGAAAGTTACGATATTTGTTTTTATGAAACGTAAATTGTGCATGTGGTTCGTTCAAATGAACGAATCGTAGGAGTCGAGGCAATATAAGAAATTGAATATTGTGATTCGATTCACTAAAAAGAATTGTACTGCCCATCACTATTGTGTAGGTACCAATAATAGGTTGAATAGTCCAACGTTTTTGAATTTTCTGATTAATGACTTTTGGGATGCAATACATAATTTACCATGCCAAACCCGTTTGAATATAAAATTTCAATTGGACGGATCACCTGTGCATAACGCGGCAGTTGTCAGGGAATGGTTAAATGAAAATTTTGAAAATAAGTGGATAGGTCGAAATAGCCCGCTAATTGAGTGGCCACCGAGATCCCCGGACCTAACACCCCTTGATTTCTTTCTTTGGGGTTTCTTAAAGCAACAAGTTTACAAGTCTAAACCTCAATCTGTAGATGAATTACGTATTAGAATTACAGAGGCTTCTGCAAATATTACACCACAGCAGCTTAGGAATGTAACTGTTAATCTAAGAAAAGATGCGACAAATGTATTGAACTGAATGGAGGGCTGGTAGAAGCAACTAGAATTATTTGAATATGTTTAACTTATTATTCGGTTATTGTGTTGCTTGTAGTATTTTTTATCATTGTTTGTAATAAAACTCGTTGTCGTGGATTGTTTTTTTCAAGGGTTACTTGATAACTCATCGTTAAATTGGCAAAAATAGGGAATTATTTAATTTAACTGCAGAATTATTAATAATTAATATTTTTAAACGAAATTTGGTACAGAAACTGTTTTGGGGATGCCGAATGTAGGGGTGTACTCAAATTTTTGAAAAAAAATCGCTAATATGATTTTGCAAATTTTTCACCACAAAAACTTTATTAAGTAGGCCTTGTTTTTTGTGAAATAACATGACATTGAGCCCTAAAGTACATTTTTTGAAACTTTATATTTGAAAAAAAAATCATCAAAATCGGACTATAAACACAGATTTTATGGAGGGTGCCCGGTCTTGAGTGGGTCACACTGTATATTAAATCTTTTTATCTTTATCTAATAATATCTTATATTAAAGGCCTACTTATTATTACCATTAAGTTTTCAGTTAACATATAATTTATATATAATTTTCAAATTATAATCTTGTACTTAGCTTACTACAGTCTCAGACTTGTTTGTTTAATCGATTTTGTTAAATTGCATCTAATTTTACGTTTACACATTCAAATACTCTTTTTTCGATGTTATAATTCATCTAATTTGCTGTCAAATTTCGAGTATATCCGTTAAATATTGGAATAGTAGAGTAGTAGAATAAAGTTAAATTTACGTTATTTTTTTTATTTAGCATTAAATATAATGACCAAACTATTTACTTTATAATCCTTTATATTATGTAGATTGTAGAATGAGTGGGAGGGGGAGGGTAATAATCGCGACCTAGATCTATTGTGTCCCCTTTTCTTGAGTTATAACTCATCATACATGGGGATTTTTCTGTTGTAGGGGGACAGGGTATTTCCCATCCTCCTCTGACAATAGATGTTCTTCCTTTGAGGAGTGGACTATCTCCTTCGACGTTATACACACTTCGGATCAGTCTCCATTTTGTCCACTTTTTTAACTTGGTCTTTCCTTAGAACCGATACTGGTATTGTCCCGAATCTACAGGGTGTTTCAAAAAATATGTAACATCTCTCATTGGGAGATTCCTCACGTAAAAATAAGATTTATTTTTCATATCAATATAGGTCCAATTCTGCTTTGTTTCGTAGCTACAGGGTGTTAAAGTCTTAATATTTTTTCGATTTATTATAATTTTCTTCCAAGTACTTTTAGGGTTTCGAATGAAATTTTGAGGTTAAAAGTTACTATAAATGCGACATGTTTTAAAGCAAAAAAAAATATCGACATATTCACCAGTGACGTGCATATGGGTTAAAAATGGAATATTTTTTAAAAAGCATGTACGCATTTCGTTAGCGAAATAGGGAAATAGTGTAAAGTTTGAAAATGCCAGAGATTAAAAAGTCGTCTTGATATTTTGTCGATTTCGGCTTCATTGATGAGAGACCAACCGCAATTTTATTAATTTGAAGAAAAATTAAGTTAAAAAAAAATAATAATAACTTTTTTATTTTGAAAGTTTTTAAATAAGTACTCATTGATTCTTTTATCCAAAAATATCAAAAAAGCGCCTATAAACATGGATATGGAAATGCACAATTTTAGAATTACAGGATGTTAAAACTTTTTTAAAATTAGTTTCTTTGTAATTATCTTAAATACCATTATTTTTTATATGAAATTTCTGTAGATCAGATTAATAGTAATAACAACTAATAGTAATAATATTTAATAATAAATTTGGTAAAATATATAATTTATTAATTTTATTTTAATTTTATTACATAATTCTGATTTCTGATCAAGGAGACCGAATTTGACAAATCAAAGAGATTTTTTTATCACCATCTTCTGGTGATAAAAGTTAATAGATCAAAGAAAAATGCGAGCCGCAAATAATTGAAAACCTTGCAGTACAGTGTGGCGCCTCTCATACACGACGCGACGCGGAGATTTAAAGGGACGACAGTTTGTGATGAAAGCTAGATTTTTCAAATGTAAGATCTACGACGCAAAATCATAAAAATTAAAATATGTAAGAAAATCTTTGTCTGAGGGGTAGGCAACTTGTAATAATATTTTGAAGATACATAAATTCCACATTGAACACCGGAATATTATACTGGGTGTTTCATTTAAAATAACTTGCTTTTAAAAGTGACGAATGTGTCATACTAATTTTGTTTAACCCTGTATAAATTTTCAGGGTCAAATTTTAATTTGGTTTAACATACAGTGGTTATTGTAATTAAATATCAGGGCTGTACAGGGTAAATTAAAATTTAGGTAGCTGTTATTGGATTTTAAAATTTACTCTTCGTTTTCATAAATGTGAAATATGTCAAAATCCTTACATTTTAGACGTTAATGAAACCCACTTTTATTTTTTTTTTCCTAGAACTGAAACCACCATCATATAGGATATCTTATTTAAAAAACAAATTTTTTTTTTTAACTTTTTTTTTTGTGACACCCTGTATAACTCATAATATTTATAATAATTTTATAAAGTCCTTTTAATTAACCTACATATTATGCTACCAAAATTTTCGATATAAACTACCTTCCTTGGAGCCGAGTCGTATGAGAAGCGCCACCCTGTATGTGGACGTATCTGTAAAAAACAGAAAGTGGAAAAAGTCGTGGAAGTGGAAAGTGAAAAAAGCTGGAAATGTCAACGAAAGAAGAAGATTCGTTTAAATGTGTCATCAGCAGGGTTCGGAAAACTACATGTTACTTTTTTAAAATTACATAAACTACATTACATGTAGTTAATGTAGTTTATGTAACCTATGTATAAAATCTTTCAAATATCAAAGGTTTAAGTTGAGGTTATAATAAGTTGAAGCTTTAGAAAACACAATGTATTTAAGAAAAACAGAAGAAATATGGTTTAAATATAATATTTACATATCATATTATTTAGACTCCTCACACAAAGCAAAATTATTCATAATATCAATACATAGTTTATTAACGTAGTTTTCGTATAGTTTAATGAACGGGAAAAGACGTAGTTTTTGAAGAAAAACTACACGTACTTAATCAGGTAAATTACGTCTTAAGTAACTACTTATCCCTGGTCATCAGTCATACCACCCGGTGCGAGCGGATAGCAAATGTGCGAATGGCTGCAATGCGAATAAATGCTAACATTTCACAGGTCTGTCCTCGGCTTAATAGATTTATTGACACACGTGCGGCCAATCATTTTATACAATATGTTTGCAAATTCCTGAACTACTTTGCAATTAAAATTCATATTCTTTAACTACACTTACCTTAAATTGAACTGCAACATTATTAAGCATTCTGAAAGACCTCTTTAGAACTATTAGCACCACATTATCTACATAAAAGCCTACTATTTTCTTATTTGTCATGTCAATCGTTTGTGTGGCATGCCGGGATATATTTGTTCTGTTTGGAAATTGTTTTGTCTAAAAATTATCACTTTAGGGAGATGACGTTTTGACAATGCCGCTATTACATTCGCTAACTATTTCTACAATCAATGTGTGTATTTTTAAATTATCGCCTTTTTTAAAAATAATACCATTTACTAGATATGACAGCTAATTGTATTTTGCTATAGGAATAAAATTATTTTGGTAGACTAGTAAGTAATACAGATCATTAAAAAATATGCAATAAAACAATACTACTTCTAGTCAAGTTATTCATAATAATTCTGATGAAAATATAAGTAATTTAAAATGATTAATAGCTGAAACCATTGAGAAATATATAGGAGAAACATAGGTGGTCCGAAATTGTATTCCGGAAATTTCGGCAGCATATTCTAGAGATAAAAGTAAGTAAAAAGTTCGTATAAATGTATGTCCTAAAATGCTTTGTTTCTGAGAAAGAGGGCGAAAAGTTTCATTTATTTGATTTTTTCCAATTTATGAAGTAACGTCCATATTTGCATGAAAATTGGTGTCTGAGAGTTTTATCACGAGAAATTTGATTTTGAAGTCAATATGACCTACATATTTTTTAACAGGTTTGAAAAGTAATAACTTATCGTCCGTACCTGTAAAACTACTTAGTGAATAAATATCATATATTCCGTAACTTTTACGTAAAAAAGCTAAGTTAACGAGCAACGTAAACGAGCAATCGCTCTCAAAAGATGAATGGAAATGAAGTGCCATTGCTGTATGAAAGGCCACCTGTATGGACGTATCTGTAAAAAACAGAAAGTGGAAAAAGTCGTCGAAGTAGAAAGTGAAAAAAGCTGGAAATGTCAACGAAAGAAGAAGATTCGTTTAAATGTGTCATCAGCAGGGTTCGAAAACTACATGTTACTTTTAAAACTACATAAACCACATTACATGTAGTTAATAGAGAACATAAACCATGTAATTAGCCGAAGTTAATGTAGTTTATGTAACCTATGTATGTAACTTTCAAACATCAAAGGTTTGAGGTGAGGTTATAATAAGTTGAAGCTTAGAAAAAAAATTCTAAGTGAAAACGGAAGAAATATGGTTTTAAATATAATATTCTCCACACATCATGATATTTAGATCCCTCTATACAAAGCAAAATTATTCATAATATCAATACATAGTTTATTAACGTAGTTTTCATGTAGTTAATGAACTGGAAAAGACGTAGTTTTGAAGAAAAAACTACACGTAGTTAATCAGTAAATTAAGGTCTTAGTTAACTACTCTGATCCCCTTGGTCATCAGTCACAATAATGTACAAACAAGTTTTTAGTTTGTTACATGTCTTTTTATATATAATATATGATGTCTGGCCTATCATCACCGGATTCCCTCCCGTTCAGGCCGGATAGTTTTTTTGACGCGTAATTTTTACGTTCCCTAGTCGCCAACCCTATTATCCTTTCACTGCTCTGAGGAGGCGCTGTCAACATCGCTTCTGTCAACTCTCTCCGTGCTTAACCTCACTTTGTGTGCTTAACCTCACATGGTGATTATTTAAATATTGCTGCATAATTTGAATCAGCTGCTATTTCGAGGCTACAGGGTAGAGTTACGGATGTCCCAACTTGTATTTGTGTTTTGCTGGCACGTTTGCGTCCCTTTTCTTTTGTCCTTCAGAATGTCACATGGAAGAAAGGACATGTTGTTTATTATTTATTGAGCCCACGGAAGTAATTCGAGGGTCCAAGGTACGGACTGTGTCCAAGGTACGGGTAATATCTTATGTACAGACATTATCTTATGTACGGGATGTCCTGTGGACGAGTGTCCCCAGTAAGAACGATTTTTTCAATATAAGTGCTAAGCAAAGCGTGGATGTAGCTCTGAGTCCCATGTTGCTTCGTTCCCAGCTGTAAGCTAATTAGTTACGGCTGTACCAATATATGGTGTCTCATTCTGGCCCCTTAGGTTGTGTTGGATGGCTGAGTACAGAGATGCGAGACCACCCCACGCTGCTACTGTTTGAAGCAAGATTACATAAAGAACAGCTAAGTGTGTATTTAAGTTCTAGTTTTATGTTTTAGATTTTCTATATTTTCAGTCTTAAACAGTAACGTACATTTTAAATAATATCGTACAGACTATATTTAGTGGTTAGGATTATTTAGAACATTTTATGTCGATTCAGAATATACGTGATTTAGATTTCAGGGTTTTATTATATTACGCCTTGTAATATTATTACTTTCTATAGATATTATTAATGCGCCATATTAACAGATGAATAACGAGACATAGAATCTAGAATCTACAGGTTGCATCACATCTGATTTAACACCGCATAAAATTTTAACAATTTAAATAAAGTAATGCTACTTTTCTTATATTTTCTATAACGTTAATCGCATTGTATTTTTTCATAGTCTTTTCATAGAACGCATTTAATATTATTTACATACATAGTTTCACTCAACAAATAACCACTATACAATTATTAAAATTGTACAATGCTATTTACCATCAGAATTCATCATGAATAAATATAGTCATTAGTTTTAAGTAATATACAACTGTGTTTTCTTTCTCTGTACATGCCTGGCGCCCAATATCTATTTTTTTGTTTATTGTTCTTAATTAGTTTTATCCACGACTGCTCTCCGATGAAAAGCTGCCGTTCGCAGTGGTAGTTGTTTAAAAAACGCTACAGTGCGGCCAATCATTTTATACAATATGTTTGCAAATTCCTGAACTACTTTGCAATTAAAATTCATATTCTTTAATCACACTTACCTTTAAATTGAACTGCAAATATTATTAAGTATTCTGAAAAGACCTCTTTTTAGAACTATTAGCACCACATTATCTACATAAAAGCCTAATTATTTTCTTATTTGCCATGTCAATCGTTTGTGTGGCATGCCGGAATATATTTGTTCTGTTTGGAAATTGTTTTGTGTAAAAAATTATCACTTTAGTGAGATGACGTTTTGACAATGCCGCTATTACATTCGCTAACTATTTCTACAAACAATGTGTGTATTTTTAGATTATCGCCTTTTAAAAATAATTACTTTTTTTTTTTTTTTTTTTTTTTTGTTTTTTGATTAATAAAATTATTTTGGTAGACTAGTAAGTAATACAGATCATTAAAAAAATATGCAATAAAACAATACTACTTCTAGTCAAGTTATTCATAATAATTTATAAAATACAAGCAAATTTAAAATGATTAATAGCTGAAACCATTAAGAAATATATAGGAGACACATACAGGGTGGTCCGAACTGTATTCCGAAAATTTCGGCGGCATATTCTAGAGATAAAAGTAAGTAAAAAAGTTCGTATAAATGTATGTCCTAAAATGCTTTGTTTCTGAGATACAGGGTGTAAAAGTTTCATTTTTATTTCGATTTTTTCCAAATAATTTATGAAGTAACGTCCATATTTGCATAAAAATTGGTATCTGGAAGTTTTTTGACATGAGAAGTTGGATTTTGGAGTCAATATGACTTCTACTTGTAGAGGGCGCCACCTACATATTTTTTAACAGGTTTGAAGAGTAATAACTTATCGTTCGTATCCCTGTATAAAACTACCGTATGATCGAATAAAAACGGCGTCAGCGATGGCTATGAAATGAAGATCGCTGTCATTTTATATGTAAAATTATACTGGAAATATCATCGATCGTCATTTCCAAGCCAACTGGACGCCATTTTTTTTCGATCATACGGTACTTAGTGAATAAATATACATTTCCGTAACTTTTTACGTAAAAAACTAAGTTAACGAGCAACGTAAACGAGCAATCGCTCTCAAGATATTTAGAATGGAAATGGTAAATACACGTCATTATTGACAAAAAATAAAAACGTTGATTAATTTAAAAAAATAAAAATTTCTCAAATTAATTATTTTAATCATAAATTTTTCTATGAAAAAAAAAATGATAAAACAGTTTCTGTTGAACTTTTGGCACAAAAAAATTTAAAATTTTTCATGTCGGTCTAATACTATTTAGTCAATGTTTAATTTTGTGTCAATGATGACAGGTATTTATAATTTCTATTTCAAATATCTCGAGAACCATTACTAGTAGCGATTTTTACTAGGAGACCTTTTTTACGTAAAAAAGTCGTAAATGTATAATTTTTTACTCAGTAGTTTTATACAGGTACTGATGAAAAGTTATTACTCTTCAAACCAGTTAAAAAATATGTAGCTGGCGCCCTCTACAAGTAAGAGTCATATTGACTTCAAAGTCAAATTTCTCATGTCAAAAAACTCTCAGACACCAATTTTCATCCAAATATTGACGTTACTTCATAAATTATTTGGAAGAAATGAATGAAATTTCTACACCCTGTATCTCCGTAACGAAGCATTTTAGTACATACATTTATACGAACTTTATTTATTTTTATCTGCAGAATATACTACCGAAGTTTTCGGAATACAGTTCCGACCACCCTGTATATTGAAGAGATTATTTTTGAAGATGTATAGAAATGTACTAATACTGTATTTTTTCTGTGTCGAAATAAGACTCGATAAAGTTTAATCAATATAAGTTAAAATACACTATTAAATTATACAGGCAATATCATAACACTCAGTATCATAACTCTGATTATATGTTTAAACTTCTTTTCAACTTCATTTTATTCTTTTACAGAAAGAAAGTTGAGTTGGCAAAACAAAGCAGTAAATATATCATTAAAGGTGCCTTATCTCCAAGATTAGCCAGAAAAGAAGTTAGAAAATTGGGATCTTTTTCGAGTGTGGATGCCAAACTTTCGGGAAATTACTATGTGAGTAGTGAAAAAAATCCTAATAATAAATATATTATGTTTAAGTATGAGTATAAATTCTTAATTCAGATAAGTACTAAAACTAAATTACTAAACTACAATTCATGAGTTGCAGTGTAGATATTCAACTGTGAAAAAATCATAGATACTTAAAATTGTTGCATGAGTAAACATCCATACATATACAGGGTTGTTCACCACATACGACACGGAGTATTGTAGCTAAACGATGAGATTTTTACAAATTGTAAGTTTTGGGTTCGATGAAGGACTATTAGAGGTACAATTTAAAAATAATTTTACAAGACACAGAGTGTCCCAAATAAGTAAAAAATATCAAAGTTGTATTTTTTAAAATGGAACACCCTGTATATTATTACATTTTTAGTTTCTACGATTAAATAAAGGTAAATTTGATTAAGCCTGTTTATTATACTTAAGGCTTACAATTTTTGTGAGCATTTTTTAAATATTTGTGCTTCATTGCAAGGTAAAAATTTGTATACAGCTTCATTTACTCCAAGGGTATTCAAAGTTGCATAATTTAATACCTTATACAGAGTGTCTAAAAATTATTTTAAATAATTATTAGCTTCAAACGGGCAAATAACTTGTTTAATTTTAAATGGAACACCCTGTATATTTTACGAGAATCAGATGCATAATTTAATTGTCTATCAAATTATATTATACCATTTTTACCTATCTCTTTAAGTTTCCGTAGAAAATGCATTTTCTTGTAATTTAGAACTTATTTATCAATATACCCATGGACTATTGACATTTTAGATTATTTTAAAGATGTACCAAATTTTTAAAGAGTACAGATACTAATATTGTCGATATAATTCGTTTATTTCATTAAAAAATAAAAAAAACTGTTTAAATATTTATTAAAGAGGATCAATTAATATGATTCCAGTATTCAAACTACATTAACTGACTGTTTGCGTTGATTAATAATAATTGCTCCAAATACTAAAAAACTGAATTTTGTATGGGCATTAGACAGTGTGATAAAAAGTAACACCTTAAAAATGATATTTCATTTTTTAATAAATTCTTATTTATAACAACAGAGATTTTAATTTGATAACTTATTATTATATTGATTTCTGACTCAAATCCACATTTATTTATAATAATTTATTAACGAACACAATTAAGTATGTAATTAATTAGTATATGGGCGAAAATAATAGTGTTATATTTAATTAATGGTAATTACTTTTATAAAGATTTAAATAGATTTTCTTTTGCATACAAATCGGGTTAGTAATATTATCGTTTTGCTAAAAACGATAATATTACTAGTCTGCGTTATTTTGTACATTTGTTGCTTTAAAAACAATCTAAAATGTCAATATTCCATGGATATATTGATAAATGAGGTCTAAATTATAAGAAAATGCATTTTCTACGAAAACTTGAAGAGATAGGTAAAAAATGGTATAATACAATTTGATAGACAATTTAATTGTGCATCTGATTCTCCTAAAATATACAGGGCATTCACACATTAATTATTTAAAATAAATTTTTAGACACTCTGTATAAGGTAGTATTATTTTTATTATTGCAACACAATAACTGATCAATAAATAAACTTCATTAAATATTTAGTATTAAAAACATTGATACCCTTGGAGAAATAAAGCTTTAAAATTTTTACTGCAATTTTACAAAATTGAAAATATTTCAAAAACGGTAAGGTTTAAGTATAATAAACCTTAATCAAATTTACCTTTATTTGAATCGTAGAAACTAAAAATGTAATAATATACAGGGTGTTCCATTTAAAAAAATACAACTTTGATATTTTTTATTTATTTGGGACACTCTGTATCTTGTAAAAATATTTTTAAATTGTAGCTCTAATAGTCCTTCAACGAACTCCAAACTTACAATTTGTAAAAATCTCATCGTTTAGCTACAATACTCCGTGTCGTATGTGGTGAACAACTCTGTATAAAAGCTCAAAGGATTTTTTTGTTACGTCCATCCCGCCGAAACCGCTTCACCAATCTTGATGATTTTTTTTAAATGATGGTTGCATTTCTTTATTCAAAACGAATAAATATTAAAACAAACCTGAAAAACACCTACACACTATACCTTGAGAAATGATTTGTCCTTGTATATATTATGTTTATCATTTCTATCCTAATTAATATAAGTATCATCTACATTAAAATGTTAGATCTAAGGATCAACTAATCTATTTAAATTGTAAGTCTCAAACCAGTCTATTTAAATATCGCTTAGGACCTCTAAGCAAATGATAGTATACATAAAATAAATGTTTTTACAGGACTCCTCTCATTCTTTGAATGTTCCTACGATAAACGTACCAGTTCAAGCTCCAAATGGAGATGCCACCATTGAATCTGGACCTTCCACTCCAAGGCCATCACAACAATGGGCTGAAATGTGTCCCCGCGATGTTGCCAATTGGTTAGATCGGAAAGCCAGGATAGTCTTTCCGGTGGCCTTTGTGATATATAATATCCTGTACTGGAATTTCGTTTATGCTTTATAAACGATTATTGTATCGAATATTTTTTTATATTATTATTTTACCTTTTTTATTCTCATTTTATTAATTATAAGAATTTTATAATGTTACATGCAAAAATAAAGCTGAAGAGATGAACTATTACTTTTAACTAGTAGTTAGTTTTTATGAAGATATGAAGAATAAATCATAATAGTCTTTTTTACACATGATTTACACGCCTTGGAAATACTTGTACAGCTAGAAGACTATAGTCTGTCCAACGACAAGATCCTTGACAGTGATAAATGTGTCTGTCATTTTAATTTTAAAGTAGTTTATATTTTATTTTACAAAGAAATAAGTTGGTAGAACTGGAACGCATAGCAGAAAATATATTTAAAATTTGACTGACAAGTGATTACTTCAAAATATTGTGAAAAAACTGTATAAAACTGAAAACATGTAATCGAGTTATTTTATTCAACAAAAAACGGTACGTGATAAGACAAAACAAAGAAGAACAAGACACCACATACCAAAAAAATATAAAAAGAACTATTTCTTACTTTCAAGCTTCATGAAACTTCCCGCATTTATGATTATATTTATCAATATAACTTATGTACATACAGGGTGGCCCATCGAAAACGTTCCGCAAGGCATAACGGCCAGGGTAATTTTTTTTTCAGAAAATTTAAAAACATGTCAATTTTGTTTGTGAGGGGGACAACTTTTGCCACAAAAATGATTGCAAAATCTTCAACCCTCTAAACGGGGGTGTCATCCCCCAATTTTTTTCAAATGCGAAGGGGGGTCAAGTGGTACCGCAATGAAAAGGGCTGTCTATTCTCTATACTTTCCCGCTTCGTTTTTGAAAATCGGTCGAGTCATTGAGAAAATATGAAGGATTGAAATTTGCAAAGTTTATCAAAACTATTACTTGCCACAAGGTTGAACGATCAGGTTAGGTAGAGTGTACTTTCTTTTTGAACGGTGTAGTTAATCGGCACAACTGTCGGTACTGGGCTGAGGACAACCCCAGGGTTTGTCACGAGATGCATACACATAACCCTCAGAAATTGAAAGTGTGGGCTGGTATTTTTAGAAATTCTATTGTGAGTCCTTTTTTTCTTCCTGGAAATCTAACAGGTGATATGTACTTGGATTTACTGGAAAATACCATCGATCCAGCCCTAACTGACATCATAGAGAACAATCCTGGATACGTTGAAGCAGAACTAATATTTCAATAAGACTGTGCACCTCCACATTACTCTCAAAATGTGCGTACTTATTTAAACATTAACTTTCCCGTTCGGTGGATAAGACGAAGGGGTGCAATTGAGTAGCCTCCCCGGTCACCCGACTTGACTCCTTTAGACTTTTTTTCTATGGAGACACATAAAAAGTAAAGTGTAGAGCACTCCACCCGCCTCATTAGAAGACCTGCGAAGACGAATTATTGATGTTTGTCGCGAAGTGACCGCGCAAGTCTTTCAGAATGTTCTAGAACGGATTGAAAATAATTTGTTTTACTGTATGGAGTTTGACGGGCAACATTTTCAGCATTTGCTTCATTAATAAGATAAGTTTTTTTTAATTAATTCAATTTTTGCGTTTTTTGCAAAAAGTACTTTTCAAATTTCAATCTTTCATATTTTCAAAATGGCACGACCGATTTTTAAAAACGAAGTGGGGAAATATAGAGAATAGAAAGCCCTTTTCATTGAGAAGCCACTTGACCCCCCTTCCCATTTGAAAAAAATTGGGGGATGACACCCCCGCTTAGAAGGTTGAAGATTTTGCAATCATTTTTGGGGCAAAAGTTGTGCCCCTCACAAACAAAATTGACGTGTTTTTGGATTTTTTGAAAAAAAAATACCCTGGCTGTTATGCATTGCGGAACGTTTTCGATGGGCCACCCTGTATACAAATTTGTAATATTCGACAGGAATAAATAAAACAACATAAATAAAACAAACTATTTTATTAATAATAACACTTACCAAATTTTATACCTTAAAAGTTAATTAATTAACGTTAATCTTAATTTTTTTAAACCAGTACTTTTTGACATTATTTTTCTGCAGTACTAAAATCCATTATTTACCTATCGTGTGATGTCGATATTTTACATCTACTTTAGTTTTTAGTATGTGTTTAGTATGATCCTTCTACCATATACGAAACGAGATGCACTTATCTACGACGAGATGGTCTACAAACTTTATCGATGGTAACTTCATTGGTGTATAAGACTTTCTGCCTGGGCAGGAAGTATTAACCATAAACTGTGCTCTTGGTCTACAGTTAATTTTCACTCGATTTTTCCTCGACTTGACTTCAAAAGACACAAAACACACGTAATAATACTAATCATCTTCCATAACTCAGGGTATTTGACAAAAGTTGACACAAAATTATAACCCATAATTTGGCAAACTTTGACAAGCGTCAAAAATGACAAAAATCTAAAGGCGAGTTCATACGCATCGGCGTCCGTTTGTCGTTCATCGTTTCGTCAAACCAATAAAATTGAAATACGATTTGTCATTTTTTAAATAAACCAATAAAACTGGTTAAAAACAACAAAACACGACGCATGACGGATTTATATTTAAACCCATCCATAGTTAACTTAAAAATTATTAGAAACTTTTTTTAGTAAAATAAATAGATTGGTATGGGACGTCATCTGCTTTTCTTCTGTCATCGTCTGTCGAAATCTTACCTGAGAAAAAAAAATCGAGTTATAGAAGCACTAGAATCTTTGCTAGAATCCATACCTAGAATCGTCAATAGGTTGGGAAGGTAATGTGAACAGTATTACACGTCAACCGTCTACTGTTACTTTGGATTTGTAGATGTAAAGTACTCATTTCACAGCAAAATAAAACGCTAATTCTTCACAATGCACCAAAACACTTTTACTTTTGCCCTAGAAGCGCGTTTCTCTAACCTAACTACCATATTACCACTACTATTGCCACTATTATTACCACTATACATTAGCATCATCAGTAGATGATTAAAACTCAGTGTTAGTTTTAATCATCTGCTGATGATGCTAACTTAGTTAACGAAACGCGCGTCCAGTGGAAAAGTAAAAGTATTTTGGTGTATTGTGGTTAATTTTACTGTTACACCATATTATCCCAACTATAATACTCATTTAACCCTCGGGCAGGCGCGGTATTCCGTACCGCAGTTTTTTTTACTTTAATTAATTTTTTTATTTTGTAAAATTTAACATGCTTAACAATAACAAACAATTAAAATACTTATTTACTTTATTAACCCACAATAAACTTAAATATAAAAAAAAAGGAACCAAACGAAACAACTTTAGCATTAAGGGGCCCTACATGCAATGATTTGATCTGCATGTCAAATCGCACAGTTCACATCTTACAACCAAACCGATTAGTCTAAAAGCTAGCAACGCTTTCGAGAAAGTATTTTAAGAAAGCTGGCTCTTTGATATATCTTTTACTATGCTCTTTGGAACAGCATGCGGCCCATCTAGCTGCCGATACCCGTTGCGTTCACTACTACGCATCGGAAGAAGATCCTATATTTTTTTATTTAATTCCGTTAAATTCTAGTATTGAATATAAATCGAATAAGTCTCCATAGTTCACGCGTAGAGTTTCCTACTACGATCCGAGGATTCAAAGTTCGAGACCGGGTCAGGGCGAAAACTTTTTTTATTTTATTTTCGTTTACATTCTGATAGTAAAGTATTAAATATTTGTGTTTTTTTTGAATCACCAGAATTATTTAATACTTTAATATCAGAATATAAACGAAAATAAAATAAAAAAGTTTTTGCTCTGACCCGGTCTCGAAATTTAGGGTAGAGTTTTGGATGTCCCAACTTAACTTGTATTTGTATTTTGCTGGCACGTTGGCGTCCCTTTTCTTTTGTTCTCCAGAATGTTACATGAAAGAAAGGACAGTTTCTTTGTTTATTATTGAGCCCTCGGAAGTAATTCGAGGTAGGTTTATTTTGTTTATCAGACCTTGTTTGGTTTTAAACAAGAGTTTCATATTTTTAGGGTCCAAGGTACGGACTATTTACAATGTACGGGCATTATCCAAGGTCCTAGTAGTATCCAAGGTACGGGTAGTGTTCCCCTGTACCGTTATCTTATGGACGGACTGTGTCCAAGGTTATGGTGCAGGTTACGGACATTATCCAAGGTCCTAGTAGTGTTCCAAGGTACGGGTAGTGTCCCCATATTGCCACAGTATGGATCACAGCGTAAGCCCCTCGCTCCTCGCTTGATAGGCAGAAACTCTACGCGCTGAGCTATGGAGACTCGGTCGGTTTTATATTCAGTACTAAATTATAAGGACTAAGCAAGAAATATAGAATAACATTCAATGCGCAGGTAACACAACACCAGCAGCCAGACGGGCGCATGCTGTTCCAGAGGGCATAGTAAACGATATATTAAAGAGTCAGCTTTCTTTAAAATACTTGTTTTTTCCGACGTTGCTAGAGCTCTCCATTGCTGAATAACGATCTTTTCACACTACATTTCAGTTTTTATAAAAACTCAAATTTCCGGCGGTTTATGGTCAGTACAGTTCCCGCTAATCTATGGTCTGTGCGGTTAAAAAATAGCATCTCTCTTTAGACAGATCTTTATCGAAATGAATCGAAGTTGTATTATGTACAGTTCAATTCTCTCAAGGACGGTCCACACTTGCTATATAACACTGCTATATAGCAAAGTTATATAACATGTTACATATTTTTTAGTTATATTTAGCAAATTTCGATGCTATATAACTTGCTAGATGTTATCCATTTGTAGTCGGTAAAGATCAAAAGATGTTGTGCAACATTGCTATTGTAACATGAAACAACGCGTCCACACTTGCTAAATTTCTAGTTTAGCCGCTCATATTTTCAGGGACGTGCGCGACAGAATCTTAGTGTAGTGGTTTGTTTATTTACTGGTCAATAATACCGTATGATCGAAAAAAAACTGTGTCCCGTCGGCCTCCCGTCCAGTTGGCTTGGACATGACAATCGATGACATTCCACTTAATTTTCCATATAAAGAAATGACAGCAAATCATTTCATGGTAAGTATTTGGAAAGAAAAAGTTGAGAAAAAAATGCGTTATCTAATAGGCCAGTTTCAGAGGGAACAAAAGAAATGCAAATCAGGTACTGCATGGTTTAGATTAAGTGGATAATTCGAAATGGTTTGCTTTTTGTTTTTAGAGGTTATTAATGTTTTAAAAGGCAGACACCACGAGAAACAGCCGAGGGAAGTATTGAAAAGATAAGCTAATTGTGTTCAACTGTATCTAGATCTTGCTGGTAGGCTATAGCGGACTCAAAACCGCTTTTTTCTCGACTTTCTTTCTCTTTCTCCAAAAATAATTACGCACGCCGCTGCTGCGAGCTGAACCTCTTTCTCGCCAAAACGATTCATGACTACGAAAACTATAATGTGGACGGCTCCCGGTTTTTTTAACATGTTACATGTAGCTTGTTAAATAGCAATTTTATATAACATGTTACTAAATGTGGACCCTCCTTCAGATATCGTTACGTGTTATATGGAAGCTTTTCTTAAGATCCACACAAATTTTACAAGAGCAGTGATATGATGACTCTGACTTAACACTTTTTGAAAAATTTTGAATTTCGCTCCTATTGGGATGTTTAAAATTATTATTTTACATATTTTTTTTGATAATTTGTTTTAGCAACAATACTAATCACTAAACCTAAAATACTCAAATATATGATAAGTTTTTATTATAGGAATAAGAAACAATTACAAAATTTCTCAATGGATTTATTTAGGCACGTAATACTCACATTTTTATTTTATACATATTATGTGATGAAACTTTAACAAAATATAAATCTTGTACTTCTTCATCGTGCCACCAATAAAAATTTACAACTAAGTATTTACATGAAATAAAATACACATTATAGGTAGTAGTAAGTATTGCTTTAAGTGTTTATCGTGTGTCATTTAATCATGGACCGGCAGTTTCTGCTATTCTATCTTCACTTATTGCTCTTCTCATTGTGCTGAAATATAATAATTTTATTACAGTGTTACAGATAAAAGGTAGTATGCAGACAAAATGCGCGTAGGTAACTTAAAATATAATGTGTTTGATTGTTTCTAATAAATGTGTTTTCACTTAAAGTATTATAAATTGTATTAGTTCTGCTTTATTAAGAGTATGTGCGTAAACTTTGGATATTTCTTGAGAGGAAGTTGTAAAAACTGAGAACTAAGTATAAGAATTACAGGTTTCTCATTAAACAATATAATATAAAGAGACAAAAGCAAAATAAAAAAAGAAAAACAAAAAAAATAATAAGTTTATAATATTCTTCTTAGTCTTTAGTAATACATCAAAACCATTATTTTAAACTCGTAACGTTTCGCTAACCTTTGTGTAACCTATAATGTTAGGCATCATCAACAGTTGACAAAAATAAAAAGACTTTTTACGGACGACACGGGCTCAAAGGAGAACAACACTTATATTGAAATGAAATTTTTGGGAGCATAAGTAGGTTAATTGAAAGCATTTTTATAAAAATATATAGAGTTCTGCAAGGTGTCCCCAAAAAAATTACGCATCAAAGTTGGATTTTCATTAATGGGGCATCCTTATTACTATATTATTGATTTTCGGATTCTAGGAAAAAAATAAAGATGATTTTCTTTAAAAAGAAACCTAGAATTGTGTAAGGTTTTTACATATTTCACATTTGTGAAAATGAAGAATAAATGTATGAATTTCAATAACACCTACCTAAATTGTAATTTACCCTGTATAGCCTGATATTTAATTACAATAACCATTATAATGTTCTTATTGAACTAATTAAAATTTGTTCCGAAAAGTTATACAGAAAGAGACAAAATTACTACTGAATATTTATACCGGTATTTAATGGACAATTCGTATATCATTAAAATACTTAGAAGGTTGCCTATCTCTCTAAGAAAGATTATCTATATTATATTTTATGATTTTACCTCAGTAGACAGGCCCTCTATGATATACCGTGATCGAATAAAAACGGCGTCAGCAATAAGTATTCTATTAAAATGGTGAATCTATATTGTAGTTGCCCAACTAATAGAGACATATTAATTCTCTCTGATGTTGGAGAAGTTTCTATTTTTGGTAAATTTCCGAGATTTTTTTTTTATTTTAGCTGACACAAGATGATAACTAGTTGTTAAGTTGAACTAATTTCACAGATATGTTGAAGTAACGTCAGATGTATCACACCCACCTAGATTTTACCAAATAATAAAGATCTACTGACCTAAATCATAAAAATTAAAATATCTAGGAAAACCTTTGTTTGAGTTGGTTTGGTTTGGTTACGTTAATAGTATTTTGAATAGACATAAATTCCCCATTAAATATTGGCTCCTTATTGGGTGTTCATTTTAAAATAACAGAGTAATACAATTTTGGTTTAGAACTTTTTTGGTGTTTTGGAATTTCGAAATATCATTACCGAGATCATTACCTAATGATACTGATTAGTAATGAGCAAATGCAAGAACTCTTGGTCTTGCAGGATCCAGTCATGATCTTGTCTTGCTGCAAGACTTCCAATTCTTGCAACTTTTCAACAAATTTTTACTATAGAGGCACTTTCTACATAGAAAATCTTTAATAAGTAGTATTTTTAATAATTTAATAAAAAAAAAAAGAAATTTATAGAATCTTTTGTCTGGTGAAAATTTTTTTATTTTTCAATATATTAATTCAATATATTGGATGTGCTTTTCTTTCTGTAAAATCATTTTCAACCAATAAGTAATTTGTTATATCATATAAACGTAAAATACAAAACGCAAGACTGGGAGGCCGCAAGAGTTTTGCATGCCTGGTCTTGGTCTTGTCCTGCGGAGTCTGGTATTGGTCGGTCTTGATCTTGGAGATCAAACGCTATTGTACTTGGTATTGGCTACGTTTTGGTATTGGTCTTGCTTTTATGGCCACAAAACAAAGACCAACCTCACTCATCACATGAGAGAATTACCTACTAAATGCTGTTATGGTTAGCGAAATGTGAGTTCAAATTTTTAAAATAAAGGATATGGATGTAGATTTGGTATAATTTTCTATTAAATGTTTCTAATTTACTGTTTTTTTTTTTTTTTTTTTTTTTAATCACTTAATTAATAAAAATTGACAGTGCCAGGGTACATGCCAGAAGAAGAGTAAATTATAGTATTGTAAATTAAGATACACTCAGAGATATTATTTTTTTGTCTAAAGAAATAATACAAAAATAAGGAAACTTACTGGCCTGAATCTCTCGACCTTGATAATCTATGTGGAGGACTAGGAGGAAGTGGGGGTAGTCTCATCCCTGCTCCAGGCCTGGTAACTATGTGACCCATCACCCTGTCAACATTCGACTCCTTAGGACCAGTATCTTCCCCTCCACTTTCAGATGACGAAGGAGGGGAATTACTAGCATCTGACGTCATCGATCGACGAAATAATGGGTCGCTATATCTACAAATAATGATTTAAATATTGATTAAAATCCTCTTTAGAGTATTACTAAAAAAATGAAGATTTTTTTTTTTTTTTTTTAATTTAAAAATGTCTGTACCTACATATGTGGCGGATTCATCTCTCAAATAAATCTATACCGGGTGAGTCTCAAGAGGCTCCTCACTTAACTTTAATTTTTTAGTTGAAAAACGAGATTTGGTATGTTGGTCTATATGACATAAGTTAGGATTGATTGACGTATTCAATTGTTTTCGGTCACTTCCGGTTTCACCGGAAATTACTACAACTTTTGATTTTAAATGACACCCCCAGTATTTTTTTAGTTTAGAAAATGTCACTCTTAATAGAATGACATATCATATGTCAACTTTTGGCATTTTTCGCATATGGTTTATTGAAATTATAACTTGTGGTTCTTAACGAAAATTTGACTCGAAAAACCAAATGTGTGATATCAAATTATTCGTAAAAAATGCTTTCAAATATGCTAATGAACCACCCTCGTTCCATTTGAAAAAAATTGAGATATGATTAAAAAATACGATTTGAGCATTTTCTACTAGCCAGGACATGACACTAAAACATTAGACGATCAAATCTATTTTTCCAAGGCTCCTTGATGAAGAATTAGTGTTTTTTAACATAGCCATGGCACTCTAGATTGAATTCTAAAATACAATTTTTTTATTAAGCGAGAATGTCAAAGTTCACATATGAGCCATATTATTCAGAATGTCATTTTTCTATCGAATAAAGTAAAAAAATACCGAGGGTGCCATTTAAAAATCAAAAGTTGTAGTCATTTCGGTGAAGGAAGTGACCAAAACAATTGAACACGTCAACCTAATTTATGTCATATACTAACATACCAAATCTCGTTTTTATCTGAAAAAATAAAAGGTTATAGGGGTAAGCCACGAGGGGAGGCGCACCCGGTATAGGTATTTCGCCACTGCAGAAAATCACAAAATAAAATAGTTATTTTTGTAAATACTGCTGCGTTAATCCAGCGGAGACTAACTGTCAGCAGTGGCTTACAAGTGAATAAATTTGTCTAACGGACAAAAAAAATGCTTAACGTCTACAGAACAGAACGTTAACGGTTTTTGTCGACGTATCTGTTTAAAAAACTAAAAGTATTCTCGAATAGTTGCATTTAAATATTTTAAATATATATTTTTTTATTCTTGGTATTTTTTGATTCCGACGACGAAAAATTAAACTTTCCGAAACGTTAAGCATTTTTTTTGTCCGTTAGGCAAATGTGTTCATTTGAAAGTCACTGCTGACAATTAGTCTCCGTTCGATTATTGCCAGTATTTACAAAAATTACTATTTTATTTTGTAGAGTTTCTTGCAGTGGCGAAATACCCATATATGATTATTTTGGAGCGTAATTATTCATGTAATATTTCATCAAAATTGAACTTACATTTTACTTATTGGAGGAAGTTTGTCTTGGTTCGTACTGGCCGTTGATGGAGGATTAAAATCTGTATAAGTGGCAGCATGGATCTCTTGTTGGTACATTTGATAAAGTTCTTGTAAATCAGATGGAAGTTTAACTTTAAGCTCTAAAATAAAATTTATTATATGTTCTTTCGATGTATTTCAAATCTGGGTCCATAATACTGTTGAATAGGTGCATAAAAAGAAACTAAATAAAATAAACTGACTTAATTTTACATGAGATCTCACAACTTATACATATAGTGAAAGAACTGTGTTGCTAGACTTGGCATTTTATTACGTTCAATGTTTTTGATGGAATATGCATTTCTATAGTTTTATTTATATCATTAATTTGACATATTTCAATTAAAATAAGCACTAATCTAAATTGTATTTTAGTTAAATGAAGGTTGAAACCACGGCTTAATTCGTCGTTCGGGACTTTTCAGGCGGATTGTGTACCTTTTGATCGGTAGTTTTAAGGGGAAAATTGTAACACCGTGCTCGAAAAATGACCCCAAATTGCCCAAAAGTAATTTTTTCTACAATATCTGGTAAGCTATGCAATTTACAAATTTTAATTTTTAATTCTCCAAAAGGTAGTGTTCATCTATTAGTCTAAGAGCTAACAACGTTTTCGAGAAAGTATTTAAGACGTCTGGCTCTTTGATATATCTTTACTATGCTCTCTGGAGCAGCATGCGGCCCGTCTGGCTGCCGTTACACGTTGCGTTCACTACGGCGCGGCGACGGCGCATCAGAAAGAAGATCTATATTTTTTATTAATTTAGTCCTATAAATTCTAGTATTGAATATAAATCGAACATGTCTCCATAGTTCAGTGCGTAGAGTTTCCGAACACAGACCGATGATTCAGAGTTCGAATCCGGGTCAGGGCAAAAATACTTTTTATTTTATTTTGTTATTTATATTCTGATAGTAAAGTATTAAATAATTCTGGTGATTAAAACAAATATTTAAAACTTTTTCTATCAGAATATAAGCAAAAAATAAAATAAAAAAGTCTATCCCCAAACCCGGATTCCGGCTCTGAAGCGTCGGTGTGGTATGAAGGCTGTGTTCAACACTATTCTATACTAAGATTTAAGGACTTAATAAAAAAGCTCTTTAAAGAGTTTTTCTTCAATGCGCGATGAACATAATGTTTACCGGCAGCCAGACGGGCCACATGCTGTTTAGAGGCATAGTAAAGATATATCAAACAATTAAAATATTTGTTTACCGACGTTGCTAGCTCGTACTATGTCCCAGCTAAAATTACGCTACTTACGGTATCAAGACACTTTGTTTTTCAAATAGCACTTGAACATGTTATTATTTATAACATAAGATGTTGAACAAATTTCTATTCAAATTTTGATCATTCTTTTATGTTCTTTGTTTCATAAAAATAACATAAGATAATAAATAAATAAACGTCACAGTGTTCAAAATTTTTTTGAAAAAATCGAAACCCGAAGAAGAATCCTATATTTTAGTGACAATCCTAGTATTATTTAATATTCCTGATCAATGATATTAAATGATACTAGATATATCACTATGTAATATTGTTTGTTATTTATAATTGTTTGATTCTCTCATTCTTTCACTGTATAAAATGCAGATACTACAACTCAGTGAACTAAATAAACTAAAAGAACTAGTCTTTTGTACTTTTCACTTTCCTGAACCAGTTACAAAGATGAAAATCGGTTAAGCGAACTAAACTTTCCAAGAATATCAGAACTACCGAAATATTTCACTTTATTACTACATCACATATTTGGATTTTTTATAAACAAATATTTACCTTCTATTAGTTGTCTCTGTCTTGTAATGATTTCTTCACATAACTGTCTTTGTCTATCGTATCTTAAAATTAACAAATCTCTTCTTTTTAATTCGTGTTGCCTCACTAACCGTTCTGATTGTAACGCCATCTTGTCCGCCTCTAATTCGTGCACTCTACATATCAAAGCCAAAATTTCTCTTTCATCATCTGATGATAAAAGAGATGGTAATTTCTAAAACACAAGATAACATATTTGGTATTACCTTTAGAAATCCTAACATCTTCTAATGTTACTCCACGCTGTCTGCAAGCTTCTAATTTTAACTCGATATGACCTCTTAATTCTGTCCATCGCTCTTGCTCTCTTTCAATATCTGCTAATTCACCCCAAGCTTGTTGTACTATTAAAAGGAAGAGAATGAATATACAATTTAACATAATAAGAATAATAATACCTGCGGATTCTCCTTCTGGATCATCACTATCTACATCAAAACTTGCATCTTCTTCGTTTCCTGCTGATCTAAATCCATCGGCTGTTGCTAAGCATAGGTCTTCTTAAAAAGAAAAAAATAATTTAGGAGTAATTAAGTGATACATAGATATAGAGAACACATAGTTCAATAAGTCAGAGGACGTGTAGTTCAATAATTTGTGAGCAAATAACCTTAGAAAATTTTTTTATACGGCCACGTCTAAAAATATTACATTTTTTTTTTTTTTTTTTTTTTTTTGTATTTTAAATTTTACATGCCAATGTCATTTTATTTAGTAGAACAAATCTGATGAAAGATGAAAACACGCATGGAATTGGCAGGTTACGCATATTCCATATAGCGATTGCGAAAAATTGGGTTGAAAAAGTAATAGATAGGTTTAAGCTTTAAAGCCAGATAAAAAATTCGTCAAAGTTTTTATGCATAATTTTCAAGCCTATGATGATTCTTTTTTGAAATAAACACAATAATTAATTAAAGAGCGATAAAATTTCAATTAGTGTTTTAACAAAAAGAGGTAGTAAATTTAGGAGTTCATATGAACATGTACATTTATTAAGGAACTACTACAGATATACCTTACATTGAAAGGAAATATTATAATACAGATATACTTTTTATTTATGCATGGAATGTAAAACCAGAGGTTATTCAGAAATAATATAATTTTGATAGATGCATACACAATGTTATCTGTAAAGATATACCTATAACATATAATTTTATTTTTACTTGCCTAATAGTTTGTTGAGTTTGAGCTCGACTAGCATTGACATTATTTTTGTACAATTTATTGTTTCTTGACTCCCAATGAGATATTATTAGGTGTTGTCTTTCTGCTTCCATACCTAGACCTAAAACAAATATTTTCTTATTATTATAACTTTTTAGGTTTCTATAGACAGGATCCTTATAGCTACTTATAAGTATATGCATATATATTATAGCATAACTTAACATAATTGTTTTTACAGTGCCATACTCTATACAGAGCGTCAGCTACCTTTCGCATGTACTTGTGATGAGTGTCATCAAATTGTTTCTAAAGTACATGGAACTTCGCTGAATGTAAAAGACACTAAAACGTAATACTAACGAAAAAAATGATAATTTGTAAATATTAATAGAAAATAAAATAAACCTAAAAACAAAGATATATAAAGAGAGTTTCTTGGTCTATTACCCCCCCCCCAATAACGCTTTTCAAACAAAAACTTCAAAATATTAAAAAAGTAAATAATATTTAATTTTTTTTAGTGTTTATAGTCTGTCCTACGAGAGTATACCGGGTGCGTCTTAAAACCTACAACTTTTTATTTATTCCCTATAACTTTTATTTTTTCAGATAAAAAAAGCGAGATTTGGTGTGTTAGTATATGATAAGTTAGGATTGATTGACGTATTCAATTGTTTTTATTTTTTATTCATAAAAAAAAAAAAAAAAAAAATCGTATTTTCAATCTTATCTCATTTTTTCAAATGGAACGAGGGTTGAATTTTTACGAATAATTTAATACCACACACTTGGTATTTCGAGTCCAAATTTTCGTTACAAACCGCAAAAAAGGTATAATTTCAAATAAACCATATGCAAAAATATCAAAATTGACATATGATATGTCATTCTATTCAGAGTGTCATTTTCTATCAAATAATGTAAAAGTATACCGAGGGTGCCATTTAAAAATCAAAAGTTGTGAGCAAGTCATCTCCCGGTGAAACAGGAGAGTGACTAAAAACTGGTAATACGTACTCAATCCTAATTTATTAGGATGTATGTTAGTATTATTATACTAACATACCAAATCTCGTTTATTAACTGAAAAATAAAAAAATTGTAGGGTTGAGACACTTTTGGGACGCACCTGGTATTGAATATTCTCTGAATGGCAGCATTATTAATAATAAAGTTTACAATAACATTTGAATAATTCATCTTCTATTATTATTCATTTATTGAGCTTACTTTTTTAACTTAATGCGTTTATTAAGAGGTTATTTAACAACATACCTAATAGGTGAGCATCTATTTCCATCAATTTCCGCCTCAGTTTCATTTGCGTTTTAAATGTGTCGACGATTTGTTCCCTTAAATTTCTAACTTCCTGACTTCGTTCTTCGGCATTCATACGTTTGATATCCGCCGAGCGAGGTCTCTCTTCTTTCATTTTATTTTGTAATCTATTATACAGAATATTTATTACTATTTAGTTATTAAATACAGATATATATGGATTTAGCATAAAATTAAAATTTTATTACAGAATATGATTTACGCTAAATTTTCTATTATATTTTTGATGGATCTAAACAATAGGATAATAGTTGTTCGATAGGGCCAAGACAGTTAAGAAAAAATGACAAACTAATGGTTAAATCTCTCAAATGGAAATGGAGAGAACATCTATAGTCTGTCCAATGGGCGGGATTCCTGATCCCTGTCAATGAAAGTTATCTCTATCAGTTTAAAAGCACAAGCCAATTCTATTTTCTGTAATTTTTGGATGTCATGTGTCAAATTTTTTCTTGACTCGTTGGACATACTTTAGCGAGAGAATCGTCACCAAAATTACACAGTAGTACTCAAAAGGCAAATAGGGCCACGAATACTAAGGTAATCGAGCATGGGCCAGCAATATTACAAAACTAACTTGAACAATATTATAAAAAAGGTATAAACATTATTTACAAAATGATGTAAAGATATAATATATAAACAACAAACAACAAAATATGAACGGAAATAAGGAAACATAAAAAATAAAGCGCTACCGTAATTATTCTAGCATAATGCTATATAATATGTGATGATGCTAATGATGCTGTAATGATGATGATGATGATAATGGCATTAAAATGATAAAGAATTTGCGAACAAAGTTTATAGGACAATGGAAAGTTTAATATTTTATTTTATACCTGAAATACTTAGAATCAGGTTATCATAATCGCCTTAAGTAAAACAAACAGATCATGAATAGTTTTATATTAAACTACAAAAGTATCGTATTTTATAAAATGGAAAAATATTGTTTAAAAACTTTCAATTAAATTTAGTATTTTATTTCGATTTTTATGCTTATAAAATACAGGTAACTTTATATTCATCTAAAACAAACTGATAAAATGAAAATATAGAATTAAGGCTTTTACAACATACAAATAATGGAATTTTTTCAGATTTAATTCAACTTTTTCCTCTATATGCTTGTAAAAAATGTCTGTTGGGTGAAAGGAAAAGGATTAGATTGAACAAAACATATAATTTTCGTATTTACCTTGAAATTTCGGCTCTTAGTTCATTCACCACCGTTTGGTATTGTGTAACTTGATAGGACACATCAAGAACGTTTCGTTCCACTTTAGTAGATATATTATTTGCTCTGAAAAATATATATTAGGACATTAAGAAATTAGACCTGTTTAAGCGTAGCTGTTAAAATATAATAGACACATTTTTTTTCGTTTAAGCCGGCGACGGACGATGAGCGATAATATAATATATATTATAGCTCACATATTTCTAAAAATATCCTTTGCATTAAAAAGTGCAGGTCGCAGCGCATTGATGCTATAATATATATCTATATCCCGGCGATATCGGGCGATATATTTCATAAATGAACGAATATGCTTTCCGAGCGATTTTTGGGATATATATTTCCCCCCTCTTGCGTTGCGGTGCCCGCGAAGAAAGCAAATAGGTGCGTGGCGTGCGTTTTACGTGATTTGAAAAATAGATTTGTAACTGCCAGTCGCTCTAACGAACTAATGCTTTCTCGCATATTTGTGTTTTGCTTTTCTATATCATTTTTTATTAGATCATGAAGTTCATAAAATTTAGTTCTGTCCATTCGAAAAGAGAAATAATTTGTAAATTTTTCGTCACTTAATTCGTTAAAAAGTGAAAATTCTCCTCGTTCTTTTCGGTATTTGATATGATTAGATAACCAGAATCTTGGTGCTTGTTTTTGGTTACTAACCATAATTGCTAATAAATTGTCGCTTTCAGCATCTGATTCATCTTCTGATGAGCTATCAATGGTATCAAGTAATAAAAAGTCTTTCGCCCTCGCCATTTTCTACACCATATAGTTCACTAAATCAGCCTACTATATTGAAAATAAAATATATATATTCTAGTGCACTGCAGTAATAATATATAATAGTATAGCTTACTGCCGAGCTATAATATATATTATATTATCGCTCATCGTCCGTCGCCGGCTTTAAACTGATACATGTTTTTGGTTTAAGTCTCACATTATGGAAAACGAATTTAAATATCGTCCAAAAATTAATCACATTTTTTAAATTTTGGTTTGATTGGACTCTAGTAGGTAGGTATCAGCTGATAAATATTCGATTTCTTAAATTTGTTGCTAAACAAACCAGTAAAATCAGAATAGTCAAAAATTAATTGTAAAAAAAATCCACCATTTAAAGAGAAACCTTAATATGACTAATGAATTCTTAGTTTTAAAATAAATATAAGAATAGCTAATATATCATAATACAACACAACAGAATAATATTTTTCTCACCTGTCAGCATATATTAAGGTATTCCTCGACTCATCCTTTTGATTGCTCGATGGACTGACGTGGGCAATCATGACCGTTTTGCAATTGCCACTTAAGGCGTCTTTGAGTAATCGAGTGAGTTTTGAGTCTCTGTAGTTCACGTAACGAGCTCCTCCTGCTAAAGCGTTGATACAGTTTCCTAATGCTAGAAGTGATCTACAAAAATAAAATATATTTTTTAATTGCAAACTAAAGCTCTTATTGTTTGTTTAGCTTATTTCATGAACATGGAAATTGCCGTGTTGTTGTCTCACAGATGGGCATAACAATTGGTCCAATGAGGTTCTTTTTATAAATTTTATTAAATAAATAAAAGTACTAATAATAATTTATTATTTAAATAAATACATAACTATAATAAACAATTATATCAGGATTAGACAATTAACTCTAAATAGAAAAAAAATAAACGGTATCTATGAATCTGTAATTTCTAAAACATGCATTGTAATATAGGTCAAGTTTCTATTGTTAATTGACCTCTTTTTGGCCACAAAAGAGGAAATTAGTAAAATTCAATGTTATCCTTAAACGGTTTTGTCAATGTTTAAAAATTATGATTTTTGTGAAAGAAAAATAGCGTCTCATGTCGTATATATACAAAGTTACTCAAATATACCAAAAATACGTCACTTGTAACACACAAAGATACGTAATCTCATAGTATTATTGTATATTTATATAAAATAATAAGTGTAATAATTTATAAGTTGTGGATTTTTTTCATAATACTGATGGATCTGATAATCAAGTTTTTAATTGCTTATTATTTTTGATTTCAGAATAATTGTTTGGTGGTGAAAAAATGCTTGATCAACTGCTTAATTTCATATAATAACTGAGTAATGTATTTTATTATATTTGTTATGTATATATTATTTGTTTATTATATTTGTTATTCGTTATGCAAGAAGAGTACGAGTATTACTTTGTTTCCATAGGTTTGATGCATTCTCCGCCGATGCTGCCACCATCAGAGAATATCGTAAACAATTAATTAGGGCTATTTTGGCTATAACGAAATTTTTAAAGGTTCATAATTATAATATTAAGATGTTCATAAAACATTTATTTTTTTTTTTTGATTTAAAAAATATACCATTAATATTGCAAAATTATATTTTATCCTCTTATAGATGTGTATATATATTTAATTTTTTGATTATGTGAGAATATCTATCGATAGTTGAAGATAGTTGTATCGTCGAATGTTTTTAGATCATTTTGCTTTTAGTCAAATCGTGAGTGTGAGAAAAAGTCACTATTTGATCGAGCTCAAAATAACAATGTAAAAATTAACATTTTTAAAACTCTTTTTTAACGTTTGTGTGTTTAAAAGAAAGTAATATCGTTGGATATGTATTTTAATATTTTTATATAAAGGAAATGAATGTTATACGCTGCTAGTTTTTAAGGCCTTTTTGTGCAAAGGATGTTTTTTTCCTAATTGACTCAGTCAAACTGTCCTGATGGTGGGAATAAAATTCTCGACAGCTTGACAAATTTGAAAAGTAGTTTATTAGCCTGTGTGGTTATTATTGACTGCATCCTCTCTTAAATTTTGAGTTTTTTCTTAACTTAGTCAGTCACGACTAACCTGCTATATTTAAATGGCTTTAAATATCTCAAAAATGGCAAGACATATTAAGCCCTTATAATAAATGCCTTATTTTTATGTCCAAGAATCCAAAATGAAATAAAATGCTGGGTGTTCCATAAGAAAAAATATAACTTTGGTATGGATCTTAGTTCTGACCTGACAGCATTTCAAATAATTTTAAATTATACTTTTTTTTTTTTTTTTTTTTAAATAAAATAGTTTGTTTCTACATCTTTTCGTTTCATTATAATTAACCGAGAGGCAAATGAGGTTGCGCCACCTGTACATTTTTGATCTTTCTAGTAGAACAGTACGTTTATCTTTGAGACTATCTAATACATTTAGACCAGCATTTTTAAAAAGAGGATTAAATTTATACTATCTTTTCACTTTGTAGTGACTAAATGCGTGGACCTTGATGACACTTGATACAAATCCCTATAATTTTTAAAGTATCTTTCTCCATTTGAATGAAATTTATTCTGTTATTATATTATGTAGTTTATATATCTTCTTAACAGTTTAAACTATTAATGAGTAAATAATGTCTATACCCCGTTGTGGCGGGTTCGAACTTCTCCAAAAGTCTTCTAGGTATTTTGCCACTTGCGCACTATAAGACAATCTACAAAATAAAATATATATTTTTGTATAACACCGCTGGTATTAATTCGACTGAGACCATATTGTCAGAGGTTTTAAAACTTTTACTAATAAACCATTGCCTGACGGACAAAAATGATTAAACGTTTCAGGAGGAAAAATCCCCTTGGTCATCGAAGGCATCAAAAACACAAAGTGCAACTTACAGTGCAAGGGGCAAAACACCCAGAAGGCCTTTTTGAAGATACTAATAAGTACTTTGTATAATACAAAGTTTAAAATAGCTATGGACAATTATTCACACACTGATAAAAATCATTAAGAATAGAATATCTATTTGTAGTAGTTATTTTAACGATGTATCCTAAAATTCCAAGTAATTACTCTATTTCTTTAAATCTGTACATCTAGCAATGAACATCTATCCCTCTAATTTTAATTTTAAATGTAACCTTTACAAAAGAAACTTACCCTAAAAACTTTACTGCCTTAATATTAATCTCTAAACTACAATACACGTTAAGTAAACTACAATAATGCTCTCGTACTGAAGCAATCAATAATAACTTTCCATTTACACAATAAATAATTGGTTAGCCTGTCAATAATGCGCATGTAATTCCGTTAAGTTCAAAAAACATTAATAAGTTAGAGTTACCTTGAACTAGGGTCCATCTTGTTTGGTGGAGTGGAATGATTTAATTTTGAAAAATGTTTTCTACTGTTTAAATGTGTATTGTTGAGATTCCAAGCCAATTATTATATTAAATAATAACTGTATTTCAAAAGTGGTACAAGGTTAGTTTTAAATTATTATATTTGATTTTAAAATGCATGTTGTTATATGCTCTCTCATAACTACCAGTTGATTGTGTGTCAGATGCTGTAAGTGCTCGCTGTAAAGAGCATGGCATTACAAGAAGAATATTTTCTCTAAAAATTTATTTAAATTTGAATTATTTTTAAGATTTTTATTTACAAAATATTTTCTTTTCGTTTTTTTGAGGAAATACTTATTTTGTCTAGCGAAAAATATTTTATCTTACCTATTACCTATTTTCAAATATTATTTTAAAATTAATTTAATTTGAATCCCAGAATTAAAATTTAAAAGTTTAATTAACATTAAGTAAATTTAAGAAAAAAATAAAGCCATTGAAAATTCACGCTATACACATGTATTTTTTAAACGGTAATAAATGTAATAAACTAGTTAAAGCCTAGCGCATCCGCCACGACATCGACATCAGGAAAAAATACTGTTTATTTTTTGTTTAATTAAATGAAAAACAAAAATCCGGCGACAACAGGTTTTAGAAGAGCCAATTAGGTATCTTTTAGTAAAAAAGCTACTTTCTAGAGCAAGTCGTTACTTTAGTAGAGACAACACAGATAAACATTAGCATTTATATAAATATGTATATATATATATATATATATATATAGATATGTCATGTTTCATAACTAACAATTATATGGTTTACCGTTTCTTGTTAAATTACTATATATGTATGTGTGTAACCTACGATCAGTAAACATAGGAAAATAATTAAATAAAATGTTTTATTTTATGTTGTATTATTATACCAAATTGGCACCTCTCATACGACGCAGGGGTTCTAAGGAAAACGACAGTTTGTGTTGAAATAAAATTTTGTACGCATATGTAAGTTAATTTAGAGCATTTTTTCCTCAAAAACTTTAAATCAAAAGTTGTTTTTCTTGTAATGAAACTCTCTATACAGTATGTCCCTGGATTGTCTTTACAGAAGGAAGAACTTTTTATTATTGATATTTTTGAGAGAAAATGCATTTTTATAAAAAATTAGCTTCTTCTAAAATGGTAAATCCAGTTTATACTTCATTCCATATTGTTTTCGAAAAAACTAAGAAAAACATGAAAATATGGTTGAATTTTTCTAAAAAGTCCTAAAATGAAAACGCGTTTCTATGGTATGCTCTTCATTTTTATTCCTTGATGGTGTATTCAACGAGTTTTTAATTAGCGTAATATTTTGTTGTTTTAAAATTATAAAGGAGTACAAAATTTATTTAGTTCAATGCTACGGAAGGGGTGATGATAGTTATCGAAAAATATGATCGAAGAATATGATGATACTTGATATGATACTTTTAACAATAGCAAAATATGACGTTAATCAAATTAATAATAATCATCTATCAAAGAATGAAATCAATTGATGTTACCATAGAAATACTGATTTTAGGACTTAAACTTCATTCAGAACCTTGCAATTAATGGAATAAATTAATGGTTTCAATAATTAGGTAGAAGTTTGTTCCTTTAATTTCAATGTAAATTATTCAAAACGTCAAAATTAATTGGTAGATATTTTCAATTAGTAGGAAAAGTTATCAAACTTTTAACTTTTCCACTAATCTACTGATTATACTTCAAAATTTGCGGAGAAATTTCATTTTGGCTTTTGATTATCTTCCGTCAAGAGAAATTGTTGTTAGAAATCAAAAGTTGATTGTTTTACAAGCTAAATATTAGGATATATGGATATAATATATCCAAATAACAACAATATATCATGCGATATCATACAATATATCCATATATAGTTACACTGACTGACACTACACTGATACTTTCTCTATGGATACAACTGACTAACGCAAGCTGTTGCTAGGATATTCTATTAATTTTAATTGTGTTTTTTAGACACTGTGAATGATCGTATTAAAAAGTATAAAGTGTAATTAAAACAACTAATTTACTCTACTAATTGCGAAGTTTTGAATGAAGCTTTAGAAAAAGAATCAACCATATTTTCATGTTTTCTTAATTTTCTCTAAAACGGTATGCTAATCTGGAAAAGTATAAACAGGATTATCCATTTTAGAACAAGCAAAAATTTTTATGGAGAATACATTTTTCTCAAAATGTCAATAATAAAAAGGTTTTTCCTCGTGTAAAGACAATCCGGGGACATGATATTTGGATTCTGGGAGAAAAATAAAGATGAATTTTATAAGTGACTACAAGGTTTTTGGCATATTTAACATTTTCTTTAAATAAAGAACAAATTTTTAAATTTCAATAAAAGCTACGTAAATTAGAATTTACCCGGTATAGCCATAATCTAAGGTATAGCCTAATATGTAGTTAAACAACTATTGTACTTTAAAATTCAATTAAAACTTGGCACAAAAAGTTATACAGAGTGAGACAAAATTAATATTGAACGTTGGTCACTTTTAAAAGCAAGTTACTCTTTTGTTCTAAATGGAACACTCAATATATGATTCCGATATTCAATAGGAAACACATGTCTCTTCAAAATTTTCAAAAAAACTATTAAGATTGCCTACCCTTCAAACAAAGATTTTCCTAGATATTTTTATTTTTATGATTTACTGTCTCAGTCATGTAACTTCCTGTGATATGCCTTTTTATTTAAGTCATTTTTATTTACTAAGTAAAAAAAATGGCAAATAAAAAGTTAAAAAATATTTTAAATTTTATTTGCTATTAAAAAATTAGTTACCTGTTTATATGAGCGCCCTCTTGCAATCTCTTTCCTCTATTTTTCGTTTTATTTGCTCTCTCTGATCCTGCCAAATCAATCATGAAAAGTCGGCCTTGCTTTATTCGCATTCTTAAATGGTCTGTCTTGTTTAAAGGTACAGTATGTCTAAAACAATGATAAATTGCAACGTAACGACGCAGTTAATTAGCATCAATATATTATTGTGACGATAAACGCCAACTAGGATATGATGGTCTCTCATTAGTTATTATAAGCAAAACAAATACCGGGTGCGTCTCAAAAGTGGCTCACCCCTATAACTTTTTTATTTTTTCAGATAAAACAACGATATTTGGTACGTTAGTATATGACATAAACTGGGATTGATTGACGTATTCAATTGTTTTCGGTCACTTCCGGTTTCACCGGAAATAAATACAACTTTTGATTTTTAAATGGCACCCTCGGTATTTTTTTAATTTATTCGATAGAAAATGACACTCTGAATCGAATGACATATCATATGTCAACTTTTGACATTTTGGCATATGGTTTATTTGAAATTGTAACATGCGGTTCATAACAACAATTTGACTCAAAATACCAAGTGTGTAGTACCAAATTATTCGTAAAAAAATGTTTTTTTCAAATATGCTAATGAGCCAGCCTCGTTCCATTTGAAAAAATTGAGATATGATTAAAAATACGATTTGGGCATCTTTTAACCGGCCAGGACAAGCCACTAAAAACATTAGACGATCAAATCTATTTTTCGAAGGCTCCTTGATTAAAAACTAGTGTTTTTAACACAGCCATAGCACCCTAGATTGAAATTTAAAATAGAATTTGTTTTTGAGTGACAATGTCAAAAATTAACATATGATATGTCATTCGATTCAGAATGTCATTTTCTATCGAATAAAGTAAAAAATACCGAGGGGGCTATTTAAAAATCAAAAGTTGTATTCCCGGTGAAACCGGAAGTGACCGACAACAATTGAATACGTCAATCAATCCCAATTTATGTCATATACTAACATACCAAATCTCGTTATTTTATCTGAAAAAATAAAAAAGTTATAGGGGTAAGCTACTTTTTACCGGTATATAAATAACTAAAATATTATTTTATAAAATTTAGTTTTAAATTTAACCATTAATTGAAATATAAAACATAATTTAATAAAAAATTTAGGATAATTATAGCAAATATATTATTCAGTTGTCTCAATTACTAGGTATTAGTATAATCAAATTTTCATAGATCAATAAAATATTTACAAACTCAACAATGTATCTATTACTATGTATATTCAATTTATTCTTATAGTTTTTGACATATTTTTCTGTAAAAGATCGATATTCACACAATTACTAAATTATTTCTATTCATTCAATTACCTAAAGTTGGTTTATCTTATTTATACATTTTATAACAAAATGTTATTATTAAATTGTTAAAAAAAGTTGGGAAAAACAGTAGAATGTAGAATGTTTAGGAGGAGGGTTCATTCATCACAGCGACCTTGCAGATCTATTGTGTGTTCCTTTCTTGAGTTATAACGAGTTATAACTAATCATATAGTCTCAGGGCTTTAACAAAAGCCAGTATCTGAGACAGCTCCATAGAGTCCAGTTCTCCATCTTCAACATCAGCTGTGATGATTTACTTGGATTTACTTGAGGAGATGCGTCCAGCGGGTCCAGGTAGACGTGGCAGGAGCAAGAGGGTGACGTTTAGTGGGTAGTGTCCTCCAGACAGCTTAAGGAGAGATTGAGTCCCACACTCCGTACGCAAAGGTATTTTACACCTCCAAAAAAAAAAAAAAAACATCAGCTGTAACAAAGTTTATGACACGAACGTTTGTCGTCTCACCGCAGTCAGTGATAAGGTATTCTGGTGTTTCCCCATTTTCCTCACAAAATCTGCATTCTCCGTTGTTTCTCAATTTCAGTCTACTGAGGTGTTCGTTGAAGAGACAGTGTCCTGTTAGAAACCCCGTAACAATCCGAAGACTGTTTTTACTTAAATCTTTGATTTTTCTCGGTTGTAAGTTCTGAGGAACTTTTCCTTAGACCGTTGGAGGATTTACATTCCAGGTTACGAATGGAGTCTTCTAGGTTCCTCAGTTCCGCTTTCAGTTGATTTCCTCTTGGAAAGCAGAATGGTTCTGATCCAGTTAGTGGAGTATTCGCTTCTTTTCTAGCTAGATTGTTTGCTTTTTTAATACCTTTTCTCAGGCATTCTTTAACCAACTGCAACCAATTGATGGTTGCTGAGTTGATCGGTTTTAGTGCTGCTTGACTATCGGATAATATGGCGATTTCCTGTTTTCTATAGTTCCTATCTAAGATAAACTGTACGTATCTTTTGATAGCGTAGATTTCTGCCTGAAGTATGCTAGGGTAAGTGCCCGTTAGTTTGGAGTATTTAGTCTTCGACTCAAAAACTGCCATTCCTGTCCCTGTTTTTGTTTTGGAAGCATCGGTATTCCACATTGGGTATTTTATTTATATATTTTCTAACAAAATGTTAAATTCAAAGAAAAAATATCTTCAAATATAATTGAAGTAAGTAAAAGAAAACTAATTGTTAAACTTTGTAAAATTTTAATTCTGTTATTATATAATATTTATTATGCAGATTTATCAATATTTTAAGCACCATGACACACAACCTACCTACAACACAATATCCTATTGTAGTAAGCAAATCATATTTAACAACTGAAAATTATGCATAAATAATTATAATACATAAAAGTGGATATTCTTATTTATGATATTTCAAATAAAAAATAATATCTACTTAGTTTCTTTACCTCACTGTTACGCTAAGTAAAGCATGACTTCTTGAAGACGTTTGGTTTAGTGCTGTTGGTTCTACCGTTCTAGCTTTGTTCCCTTTTTGTAATAACTGCATAACCTATAAACAATATAAATGCTACATTATTGCGGTTTTATTTTATAATCAAAACTTGTTCTTATTAATGCCTAAAGTGGTTTATTGTTTTCGAGTCATGAAGAGATGTATTACTTTCATTAATTGTCAAATAATCATTATATTTATTTTCAGAGCTTTAACATTCTAGCGTAATAGGTTTTCTACCATTCATTAGTTTACAATATTGCATTTGAACAAAGGTTGTTATGACAAATTATAATGTTCCGTATCTAATATTATTCCTAAAAAAATATGCTTGATAAAATAAGAATTTAGATACTTTATTTGTAGGTATGTTTCCTCAAATTATGTAGTCATTGTAGTCACCAAATAAAATATAAAATAAAAATTCACATTAACCTCATTCACAAATAGCAAAACCAAAAAATTGCAAAAAACACCTACTTATTTTAAGAGATAAAAAATTTAAATAACAAATCTTAAATTTAGGGCACTTGATAAAATACCATAATTATTTTTTGATCTGTGTTTATTTTTTACAAAATGAATGAAAAATATAATAATTATCCTTTCATTTTTGCAATATTACTTTATGATTTATTTAACCTTTTAAGTGCATATACAAATTTACCATTTTTATTAATGTAATTTAATAACGATGAAATACATAATTAATTCGTATTTAATTAAATACAGCATATAATATTAAATAAATAAAATTAAATATGAAAGTTTCATAACTTGCAAGTATAGGATTTACGCTTTCTTGTTAAAAAAAGTTTTGTTAAAATTAACCTACGTTACGGTCAGAAAGAACAGATTTTAATATAAATATCCTACATCTGTATTATTTATAGCCCTGAAAATATTTTATGATTATAATTTTAAGTATTAATTTTGCATTTATATCAGGTAATCAATTATTAACGAAAAACACAACTTAAAATCAAGGGAAGTTGTCTTAACTGTTGCAAATATAAAAAAAGTTTAGTATACAATATTATAGATTTGTATACTTAGATTTTATTTTTAAATTTAAATTTCGCATATTGGTACCGGGTGTTTTTCAAAAGTGGTCCCTCTAACTTACTTATTTCTTTAGATAAATAAACGAGATTTTTGGTTTGAAAGTATAATATATCAGGAAAAATTAACGTATTCAGTTAGTTTCAGTCACTTCCTGTTTTAAAGGAAACAACAACACGCAACAACTTTTGATTTTTGAATGGTACCCTCGGTATAGTTTTACTTTATTTGATAGACAATTATATTCTGAATAGAATGTCATTATATGCCAACTTTTGACATCTGCGCTTAAAAATAGTAAACTGCTCAAAACAATTATCGCATATTTTCTAAAAAAAATATATATTAATTTGAAAAACAAGACACTGAATTCCCTGATTTACAATCATATTATTATGGATATTGTGAAGGGAAATCTGATACAATAAGTCTACGCGCTAACCTGTAATTTTTAGTTGCAAAAGTGAAAAAAATACATACCTATGAAGTCGATCGGCCGACTATTTGATTGAATGTGAGCGCGGCTCCATAAGGATATATTGGTTACAAATATGCAACTAAATAGTCGGCCGATTAAAAATTGCTTGTCAGAGCATAGCCTAAAGCTACATAATGTAATTAAATATTGGGCCGATCGACTCCATAAGAATGTATTGTTTTCACTTTTGCAACTAAATAGTCGGCCGACTAAAAATTACATGTCAGTGCGTACCCTAATTATCCAAAAAAACTCACAAGAAAAAGGCAGAAAAATGCATGCTTCATTTAGAAATATGTAATAATTACTTTTATTCAAATATGCGATAATTCTTTTGAGTAGTGTATTTTAAATTTCTATCTAGAGTGCCATGACAGTGATAAAACCACTAATATTTAATCAAGGAGCCTTGGAAAAATAGATGCCCAAGTAGCATCTATTTGACTTCGAACTAAATCTGACTTGGAGCGATGTCAGACTTTGTGCAAATTTAGGTCGGGTGCTGGTGATACGACCGGTGACGTCGCTTTCCTATTAAAAGCGACGTCGTTGGATCCGAGTCGGTAAATCCAACGATCTGTCGACGTACAAAATAACAACGTACCATTTTTATTAATTTTCCAACGTCGCCGTCGTTCCCACGTTGGCTAGTTCAAGTATATACTTGAACTAGCCCGACGTCTACGCGTTGTCCGAATAGGATACGTCTCACTGATAATCCCTAAAGTAACGTCCAATTATATTTTGTTGTATTTTATGTTCATATTTATAACCTAATTTACGTATCTCTATTTACGTCCGTAAATACAACCCATTAAGTAGCATTTGCGGCTTAATGAACATCATGAACATAACCTAATAAAAAGTTTTTGTAAACAAACTTAATTTTTTTATTATGCCTAAAAAAACACTAAAAAGGCATTTAGACATTCATCTACATTTTACAGAAAGAGGTCGAGGCTTTTGCTAAATAATAATAGTAGTAGTGATGTCTTGGCTCCACCCACGAATGCTTTTTATCCGGAAGAGATGCTGCATTACACTGGTGCATCTTAATTTCTTTTTCCAGCTTAGGAAACCAGCAGACCCCATCCTCCTCCCACATGTGAGGTACAGGTTATAATTCTGTTAAATTTTGTATATATACTATCTTAAAAAAGTGGTTGCCCATTTTTTTAAAGAGAAACAAAAACTAAAATATAATTGCACAAATCCACAAATCACTGATACGCAAAGTGAGGTTACGCCTACGAAACCGTTGAACCGTCAGCCGTCAAACATTTTTTGACAACAAACAATTGACCTCTCATAGACCAATAACAGACAACGTCGGGAATCGTTTACCAGGAATACGAAAAATTATATGCTCTGTGGCCGACGACGGATGCTCCTACGTATGCCGGCCGATCGCAAATTTTACGTGGCGTACGTTGGAATTATATACGTCATAATACGATTGCCGGTCGTCCGGTTTAATGACTTCGGCCGTGTGAGACGACTCGTGTTGGAGACCCGGTTGGAATTGGTGTATTGGTAGTTCATATTAAGTCGGACACAGAAATCCGACATTCTTAACAAGTATCCGATTGTCAGCCATTTTAAAATCGTTTATTGTTTTTAAAATTTATATTCACATTCCGATTTCTAGTAGAATAATATTGATAAGGTTGAGTTTGGGGGGAACCACAGTACAGTTTTATGATTAAACCAGCTAGAAAATAAAAAAAAATATTTTGCGAGTTACTTTTTTATAGATATCTTTATTTCATAAATCTACCTAATTTTGAAGGCACTCGTTGTTTTCTGGAGTATTTTAATCAGATATATAAAAAAAGTGACTTCCGTTGACAAAACTGATGTATGGATTAATGATTCAGAATTATTATAATATGAAATTAGGTAGGCACTTATAGTTATATTCGAGGAGTGATTATGAATCCATTTGTAATTAGCTAGTTTGGTTAGGTTTTTATGTATTCTTGGTAGCGAATTTGAAACCAAACGTAACGTAAGTGCTTAGCAACGAATTTTAAGTGACTGAACTCCAACGTAATATGACGTTGGTAATTGGTAGAATTACATTCCCTATTAGGTCAGATACCGACGTCGAGGCGACCCGAATGTGTATTCGCCATTTAGGTGCAAATAAGGATCGTCAGGCGGTCGAACCGACGGCGACGTTGGTACCCGACGTCGCCGTCGGGTTTATTGAACGCGACGTATACCCAACGTTAGATAACGTCCAAATGCTACTTGGGTGCGATCGTCTAATGTTTTTCGTGATATTTAATTGTCGGTTAAAAGATGCCCAAATGGTATGTTTAAACATAACTCAAATTTTTTAAATGCAACGAGGGTGGCTCATTAACATATTTGAAAAAATATTTTTTTTACAAAAAGTGTGGTACCCCATACTTGCTCTTTTGGGTCAAATTTTCGTTATGAACACAGCCATGAATACTCTAGATTGAAATTTAAAATATTTTTTTAAGTGGAAATGTCAAAATTTCTCATAGTATATGATTATGTTATATACTTACAAATATAGTTTTTTTTTGTTAGAAAAAATAGAAAAGTTATAGGAACACTTATGAAAAAAACATCCGGTATAATATTAATAATTGCATATTAAAATAAAATATAAATTATAACTTCAAATATTTTTTGCTTAGTAATAATATGAAAAATTTCCTTTAACTAACAGTTCGATAAAATATAAATGGATTATAAATCTATTTGAACAGGTCCTCGTATAAATAACACGCACGGCCAAAAGTTCAATTATTTATTTGACCTTGCAAGGTTAAGGAAATTGACACGCGTTAATTATTAGTGAAAGCGTCAAGGCTAATTATCGGGAAAACCGTCGAAGCGAAGCATTCTTAAATTATTTAGGAAGGTACGTGCATGTCGATTCGTATGTAATTTCCATTAACGCCCAACATGGAAACCGAATTGAAAAATAACCATTAAGATTCTATTTTATTTCGGAAAATGTCTATTGTATTATTATAGTCTTTCGTATACTTTAGTTTCTTTAATGTGAGTTGTTTTACATACCGTAAAGAGAAATTAATATGCTGATGATAATTAAAATTATTGCATGTAAAAATTCCTACGTTTTATACTGTGTGACATATAAATTGCAATTATTAATATGTTGAGAAGTATTTGGGATAAAGACGATCATTGGCGCAACTAGAGGGGGTGACGATCCCACCCCAAATACTGCTGGGCATACCCTAGAGAAATCTTGAATTTTTACTGAATTATCACTCTTGGCTAAATATTAATTTTTATCTGCTTTTAATATAGTAAAAATGACCTTTTCTAGTTTTGTTTAAGTTGATGATATTTTGTTTAATTCAAAACATGTGTATTAGTTTTTATTTTTTAACAAAATTTGTAGGTATTTAAGTAATCCACGTGAACACGAGTTGATAACCAAGTCTATCTAATATACAGGTTGAGTCTTAAATAGGTGCAAATATTTTCAGGGCTGGTAGATCTGGCTAAA